TTTAATGTAAGTTTGAAGACTGGGAAAAATTAAAACAAACATGCTTTACAAATTCTTACATTGCGAAGAAAAATTCAACAATTTAACTAGACTTTTAAATATTATAATTTTTAGTAGAAAGACAATAGACCCAGATTCCAAACATCAATTTTCCATGTTATCATCTCTCATGAGTTCAATTTAATGCTAGACCATATCATGCAGTCCACTTGTAAAACAGTTTTCTTTACACAGAAATAGCCATAATCACATTTTACCCTGTTGGTAAAACAGTTTTGTCCCTAAGAAAAACTAACCGTGTGGTGACATATAGGCCTACAAAATTTGTTAAAATTGTGTGAAACAAGATGGACAAATGGCCTGACACACATGACACTGAGCCATTTGCAATGAAAGACACACTGAAAATTCTTATAATTTGTAATAATCAGGGAAATTAAAATGTTTCTACTTTTTACCAAATATAAATTATAATAAACTGCCCACTTGAGATCGGTTAAGAGTATAATAAAGCATATACCGTAATGCAGTAGATTCAACTTAAATTAGACTCACTCAGTGGATAAAATATTTAAAAACATAAGTAAGTTTTCAATCAGTTAAAGAACTCTAGACTTGATATCAAGTTCAATAAAAATTCAATAAAATAAATAACACTCTAACATAACTCACTGCATCCAACCTGCTACACAAATGGAAATTATACAAATTTTAACATTTTATTTTACAGAGCATCATTAAAAAAAAACAACTGAAATTCAGAAGGTATTACCCACAAAATTTGTTGGTCTACTATATTCCTTGTTTTTAACTATCGCCACACAAACACATTAATAATATATAAAAAAAATATTTTTAATAGATAAGCAGGCTAAGAAAATTACAAATACAATACGACAGACAAACTGAGCCACGGCAGTAAATGATAATAGAGATTAGCAAATGTTGACAGCTATTTATTTGATTAAAGGCCTAAAAAGTTGCATGATGTGGTAAAGCAAAAGCAATATATTAGTATTGATTAAATGCTGAGCACAAATTAAAAGAAGGAGCGTGATGATGGTAAAAAAATAATTGATGATTATATGTTTAAAGTTTTAAAACGAAAAGAAATAGGTTATATTTATCAGTTTAAATGGCAGTTGAAAATGTATTAAAATATGGTGTGTACCATATACCAAAGTGTGTTCTTATAATTTTAAAAAATAGTAAAAAAATAATGCTGTGTCATTATATTTTTAATTCAATACCCCAATAACATCTAAAGAGTCAGCATGTCTTAGGCTAAAACTCGTATCAAAGGCAATACATTATTAAATATAAGATTGATTTAAAATTTTAAAAACTACTACCGTATATATACTCATTCATAAGCAGGCATTTTAGGAAATATATCAGGGGACTAAGTCGGGTGGTCAGCTTGTGAGCGGGGCAAATGATATTTTATAATTTTTTCGTGGTACATTGTTTCTATTATAGAAAATAATCAATGAAGACGTAATCAACAGAAGTCAAAATAAAACTGTTCACAAAATTAACCATATGTGAGATTGGGTCACACGTTTTGTCCTCATTTGCTAATGCCATGCTTAAAAAGTATCTACATAAAACAATGAAATTGTTTAGTTATTGTAAGATTGTTCAATATTTTAATATTTTCCCCCAACTAGAGTATTTCAAATATTTCTTTTTGTCACAAACTTTCCAAACTTTTCTTGGCCAAAATTAAGCAGGTTGGCTTATGAACCAACAGACTTATGAAAGAGCATGTAAGGTAGTATTTACTGAACGCCCTTATCATTTGGAATTATTGTTGAAGTAGGATCTCAATTTATTTCAAACTTGAAGGGATAATTTTAATATAACGTCAAAGAAAATCAAAATACATGGCAATCAAAGGTAAGTCTAATTATATCTGAGGTTAAGGGTGTTTGTGTTCTACAATGACAGATCACAATGTAATGATTATTTTTTTTGTTTACAAATCACTATGTACAAAATGGATTTCCTTCAAGCAATGCTTATCTTTTAAATAATTTTTATCTTACAAAAACAAAGTTCCCCTTCTCAGATGCACTCCAACTCCTGTGCCCTGAACCTGTCACTACCATTTTATTAAGTTTCAGAAACCTCACGCAGACAGAATTCTTCTAACACTCATGATAGTGTCGTATAAGCACTCATGATTGTGTGGTATAAAAAGCGGAATGTTTTATTTAGCTTCAAAGAGCCAACACACTCATAACCTGATATAATCTTTAAAATATTAATAATAATTTTAAAAAATAAATAGGATGACCCATTTAAAAAAATTAAAATATGTCCCTTCTGCTGCTGTCTAACATAAGCAAACATATTCTATCAAAAAGCCCGGAAATGAGTATTATTAAAAATTGATATGAAACTGAATTCTTTCACAACCTCGCAGTTAGGAAGATTAAACAAAGTGCATCTATTTTTATTATGGCCTCTTAGAATGTTCCAACTAAATAATCATTAATTTTTAAAAGAAAGACAAGATTTTCATTTGTAATTTACAAATGCACAAAAAGCATTTAGCTGCACAAAGATTGTAATCTCTGTCAATGACTAAACAAAGGGCATTTAAACAAAAATTAAATTAATGTATAAATATACAGAATCACATTGCACATAGGTTTAAAATGACCAATGAAGAGTCATTTTAAAAATATTCAAAATAAAGATGTATTTACTTACATTCAGACATACAATATTTAAAATGTTTTCGTAAAAAGAAGTTTTGGGTAGTGATATTTTTAAAAAATCTTAATCTTTGGAAGAAAAAATAATAATTTTTTTTTTCTAATTTTGTTTGTAATGCTTGAAAATATTGGAGAATATATATGTTGATTTTGGATTTTATAAAAGTAAGTGAAATTCAGATTTGATATTTTCTCTTGAATTAGCAAATAAAAAAGTACAGAAAATTATACTTTCAGCTTAAGAAACTAAAACAGTAATAAAAACTAAATTATGGAACAATATAAAAAAAAAAAAAGGTATATCATGTTAGCATTCTTATTGTAAATGAATTATTTTAAACACCTTATCTCATAGACAATAAGCAGTAATGTGGTAGTAAGAAAATTAGTACACAAAACTTGAACCATTGACATGGAACATGGTATTGTATAGAAATGATGGGCTCAACTGAAAGATTCTTCATGTCCTCAGCATTTGTTGCCCCACTCAGTACCACACACTGTAAACAAGCTACGGCGTTTGTCGTATTTTTATTATTAAAAGTAATAAAACATATACCCGAACCTTTTATTATTTTTACTGACCTTAAATATGCAGATGGAAGAGGCTAAACAAGATTTTTGGTCAAAGTCGAGTATGATTGATTAAAAATGAATTCTGAAAAAAAGTATCAATGATGAGTTTCATCCTTTTTTCCCCCTCCCACATGATGGATTTGTATTTATCAAAGTATAAATCCTACTGTCTAAACAATATCAAAAGCAACTTCAAAGAAAAAAAATAAAAACAACAAAGTATCTTGATTCATTGATATATCAAGAGCAATATTTAAAAAAATAAATAAATAATGTAAGGTCAAAAGAAAAGTATATATTGCCTGTTCATTCTGGCTATTATATAAATTATATCCCTTTCCATAGCATTTGATTTTACTTAATATAGTTAATGTTTCAGCACAGAATTATAATCATTTAGAAATGTTGTAATAATGTCATAAAAAAATATAAGTTGCATTGGTCATGACAATATTTATCATATTCTTCAAAATAGTGAAGTTTCAAGAAGTAGACTAGTAAGTTAAAGGAGAGTGAACTTTTTTCTTAAAAAAAAAATAATTAAACAGGTTTTGACATCAATTCCAAAAAAGAAGCAGATTGAGTAAAAACAAAATATATTTAGCTCTACTAGATTTATGGGGGAAAAAAAATCTGTCCTCATTAATAATAATAACATTCTCCGCTACTTGTAAGCAATCATTCCCCATTTCATAGCAAGAAGCAATATTCATTTATTAAATATAATAACCAAAAAAATTCAGTTTCATGCTGAACATTACAAAGCTTATGAAAACCACTTGATCTATGAAGAGGTAACACTTACTGGTCTAAATTACCATTTCAATGGGCTTATTATATAAAAAATATACTGAAAAAGTTTATCATGTCTTATATTAACTCATTCCCTCCGGCAGCGCTGCTTCCGGACTTAATTTATTTTCCTGAGAAAAGGGCTGCAACTCAGTTTTGAAATTGATATATATTTTTAAAATATTTTTTTAAGTTGCTAAATATTATTTAATGTTAATGAATTAAGAACAAATGCAACAAAAAATGAATAAGGTTTAATATAAATATAACATTAGCGGGGGAAAAATAACGAACAATGGCCAAAAAAATCGATTTTCGGCACCTCGGACGAACACGTGGTACATATAGACGCGCCGTACTAAAGCACACGTAGTTTTAAAGTGAAACAAGATAAAAACTTCCGGTTTCTAAATTAAAATCACGCAGAAATCACGCCATAGCCGGAAATCTCGAGGGGTGCGAGATTTCATTGCTATTTTTAACTAAAAATAAGAGAGGTGTGTCGCTATGCGTTAAAAACTTCCGGTTTCTAAATTAAAATCACGCAGAAATCACGCCATAGCCGGAAATCTCGAGGGGTGCGAGATTTCATTGCTATTTTTAACTAAAAATAAGAGAGGTGTGTCGCTATGCGCCGGGACGCATTTGGACGCATCAGTAGGAACCCCCCGAGGACGCATTTAGTCGCAACCGTCGGGAATGAGTTAATAAATATTTGATGTTAACAGAAGTATGAAAAGGTTAAAACTTTGGGTTCATCTTTCCCTCGTAAAGCCATTAAAAACAATTTATTGTTTACAAGTTCATTTCAGTTTCTGATTGTTAAAAAAAAATCATATCCCAATTAACCCTGATGCTTTTTATTAAAAAAAAAAAAAGACTTAAGTCATAATTTACTATTAGACCCCACCCCCTCTCTCTAATCTATCACTTTCTCCCTTACCATTTGATTTCTCACTGAAATCTCCTTTCTTAGAACTGTTAGACCATCTTTTCTTCAAGCCTGGTATTGATGTGCTTGTCTTATTCAACTATTAGGAATGTTCATCTTTTATTCTTTCATTTAATTGATGTGGACATAACAACTGATCACCTTTATCCAAAATGTGCTACATCAACAAATAATTCTACAATCATTGTAAATAATATAAATAAATTATAATTAAGAGAACCCTTTAATGTGTTTACATTTCTACCATAAAAAATGGGGCTTTAAACACGTGGCTGTGATCTTGACATAGCAATACAGAAATATCCACCGAATCGCTACATCATAACTCTGCTGTCTTTCTGCCAACCTCAGGGATATCTCACTGCACACATATTTTTATCACAAAGAAACAGAGTGGGAGATTGTTGCCCCGTTGATTGGTCCTGGCACAAGAATTGGAATCACTAAATCATCCATGTTGGGCATCACAAACACACGCTGCAATGGAGATAGAGAAATCATAAATGTTAGGTTTTCTGAATCTAATATATACACTGATGCATAATAAAAATAACAGGGTTTAGTTTCTAAAAAAAAGCTTGAAGCTAGAATTAGATCATAGGGGCATAGATTCATTTGCAGTTAATGCAGATTTAATAATATTTTAGTTTAATCTCACTGGACATCAAGCCAAAAAAATATTTAAATAAAAAAAAAAAAAAGGTATCTCTTGTTGCCCAAGCTGCAGATCCCCAAATCTCCATGCAGCTGGTGAACCCAAGGAAACCTCAAAAGGCTCATACCAACGACATCTCAGGAGTTGCCAGATTTCCACCGTCAGACCTTCTTCGAGACCCCCCATCTTCGATTTTTCAGAGAGCATTGTCAATGGAAAGTTTAGCCCCAAGGCAGCAGAGGCAGTCATAGGTTGAAGAGCCCCATCTACTAAATTGCCCAGATTTGTGTTGATTTATTTACTGGTATGGCTTGGGTTTGTAATACACCAAGTGTGTCATTTCCTGGTACTTGTTGTTCGGGAGTCGACCATGACCACTTTAATCAAATTGTGAGTTTGTGTGATGGTTCTATCTGTGCAGGTGGCTAATGAGGCCGATTCTGGCATGAAATTCTCTTGTGCCATAGGTGCAGGGGGAATGATGGCGCATCTCGGGGAGCAGAGTCAGACCGGGCCTTCCTTGCATGTCTCTTGCGCTCTGCAACCGTTGCTCTGCCAACTTCATGTTGCATGGAGCTCCTGTGCAAAGTGTAACGCCATGAAGTTCAATCCTTCGCTTGTTCCTCCTCGCTTGTGTCTGGGTTTATATTGAACGCTTTCAGTGAGGCTTTTATGTTGTCTTTAAAGTGCTTTTTCTGTCACCCAGCAGACCGCTTTCCTTGTTCAAGCTCACCATAGAAAATTCTTTTGGGAAGACGGTCATCTGACATTCCCACATGTCCCGCCCACCAAGGCTGGGACTTCATCAAGATTGTGAAGATACTAGGGAGACCTGCTCGTGTGAGCACCTCAGTGTCTGGGACCCTGTCCTGCCATTTAATGTTGAGGATTTTTCTGAGTGTTGTATGAAAGTGGTTCAGCATTCTTGCATGGCGTTGGTAGACCGTCCACGTTTATTTATTTATTTATTTATTTATTTAGGCATTTTTATATAGCGCTTATCATAAAGCTCTAAGCGCTTTACAATTATTAAAACATGTAAACTAAGTAAATACAAATGAGACACAAGGATAGTAACTACTATTCTATAGAAACAATGAAAATGGCTATAAAAAGAGGACACTTTGACACTTCAGGATTAAACCGAAACAGAAAATTAGGTAGGGCAAGGAGGGTGCATCACAGGTCATAGGCGGACCTAAACAGATGAGTTTTAAGGGACTTTTTGAAAATGGACGAGGTTTCACTATGACGTATATGGAAGGGGAGCTGGTTCCAGAACGTGGGCCCATGGAAGCAGAATGAGCGTTCACCGATGGTCTTAGTTTTAGTTCTTGGGATTGAGAGGGTTCTACTGTCAATGGAAGAACGTAGTTTCACAGGCATAGAGAAGCATAGGGAGAACAGCCGCCTGATATACCTTCAGTTTAGTATGAGTGTTGATACCTCTCCTGGTTCATACGTTCTTAGACAATCTTCCATAGGTTGCACTGGCTCTCGCAATATTGAGGTTAACCTCGTCATCGATGGTTGTACTTTGGGGCAGTGTGCTGCCGAGATGGGAAAAGCCTTTCACCACAGTAAGTCTTTGGCCATATACTTGGATGTTGGGCTCAACATAAGGGCTTCGAGGAGCTGGTTGGTATATGACCTCAGTTTTTTTGTGTTAATGGTGAGCCCGAAGTTTGTGCAGGCATTAGAAAAGCCATGTAATTGTGTTAGCCTTGTAGTTTGACTTTGTGTTAGATATAATATAAAAAAATATAATAGTTCTGACACACCTAGCTTAACTTACTATAATTAACATAATTAATTATAACTTTGTATATACAAAAGTCTTAATTTTCATATCTCTCTAAAACAGATGTTGAATTTAGTTGACTATAAAATAATTACTGATTCAACAACAGTAATAAATTTTACCAACCATGTTCAAATAACTTACTTGAAACTCAATGGTCAATTTCTTCTCAATCCACTCAGTAATGTGGGTTATTGTAACTTGTCTTTCACCAACTTGTGGATTAGCTTTAAGAATTAGTGTTGGGTTCTGTCGGAAACCATACCTAAATGAAGACATACAGAAGTATAAGGGCTCAAAAATATAGTAAACATCAGTTGATTTTTTATTTATTTTTTAAATTTCTATTTTTATATATATACATGACACAAATGACAGAATTATCTTATGGCATTTAAACATAGCCATCTTCTGGAGGGTAAATAGCGATTCAAGTTTAAAAAATTAAGCAAATGGAAAATGGGGGGAGGTCCTGGCAACACCTGCATGCATTTTAACTCTGTACAGAGCAACTCATCTCAGAGACTTGGATGCAGACACCCTCTCTTAGTTTTTGCATTAAATAGATTTCATTTAAGAAAATATAATTTAAAAAAAATTCTGTCATGATCATTTGATTTATTTTGCCAATGTTGTCCACCCTCCTCCATTTTTTTCCCCACAGCCATAAATCTTTGATGCTTTTGGGGACCTATGATGCTTACTTATTCTGGACCTGCTACTGGGAAATTATATGTTCAGTATTACACAGCTTAAATAAAGTATGTGAGCTTACCAAAGTCTATTGGACGGTGGAGGAGGAATATTGAGGGCAAGTTTTCCATTTAATTTTATAAGTGTGACAGTCAAAGTCAGCGGGGTGTTGGAGACATTTTCCATGGCACGTTTGATGACCCCATACTCGGTAGCTTTGTGAAAGTATTTGGACTGAGTTATCTTGTTGAGGTAGCGTAATAGTTTCCTACTGGTACCACCCCCTGAAGAACTGAGGAAAAAATTATGTTGACATTGCAGATGTGACGGCAAATGCTCAGAGGGAACTGTTCATTTCTTAAGGCATTGATTCAAATGTATCAACAGTATTAATAGTCCTCTCAAAAACTTGTCAGATTTCAGTTTCAGGTTCATTATTGCCAACTAAGAGAATAAGCCAGTCATTTGGAGGACTGTGTATTTTTTTGTTTTTTTTAAATCATTTGAAAGATTAAATTTTTATTAATTCACACTAAGCGTGAGTTTTTTTTCCATTTCAAGACTTTTTATTTGTCTTTTAGGAGAGTGGTAGGCAACCTTTGAGTAACTAACCCGTACAGAAATGCAATGTCTTGTTTACATCTGGGTTGAATACAGTACTGCACTAAATTAAATATAATTATTTGAATTCGCTCCTTGTGCTGTGAATCATTTCTTTAAAAACCCACAGGACTTATAGGTAAACTGAAATAGTTTGACAAAATTTTCTTAGCAAAACATGAAGATGCACAGTCTAAATTTTCCTAAAGTAACTACCTTTCATCATTGGCTGGTGTTTCTTCCTCATCATCTGTTGATGATTCAGCGCTGTCTTCTTCTTCGGAATCTGTCACAGCTGACCTTCAAACAATCAAATTACCCTCATTATACATGTTTATAATAAATTTGATTTTCATTATCAACTGTACAAATGAAAGTTATCATTTACACAAGGTTAAATATAAATATTTAAAAAAAAAAAGAATCTGATTTCCAACTGGTAAATGTCCTCCCGAGCTGACACAAACTTAAAGAAAAACCTCTGTGCCTCAAAAATCAACCAAATAAGTTTATTAAATACATTCTAAGTCTAAGACTTGAAAACGCATTGCAGGCATAATGCATATAATCATTCATAATCAAAATTTTGGGGGGAAATAGTTCAGGGGAATGGTGATGGGAGATTTTTTATAAATTTCCCAAGTACATTAATTCCATTATAGAAAACGATAAATAAAAATTTATTAGCATATCAACATAAATCTGTGTGCAAGATGGGTCACATGTTTTGTCGTCATAATGCAACTGCTGTAAAGTACCTACATTGAAGAATGAAATTGTTATTGTAGATCCTGGAGGTACTACTTTTGGAATTGTTCAGTATAGTTACCGAATATTTTGGTAGACATGGAAAATGATTATCTGTGTTATACATAATACTGTATGATTATTTGTCTTTTACTTACACAATTATCATTTTTAAAAGTTTGAATTAATAAAAGTTTTTTCTTTCAGCACTGTATTGCTTCTAATGGCATATTATTATATGGGGGTCAGATTTTGAGTATGTTACACTCTTTTCAAGCTTTCCCTAGTGAAAATTAAAGGAATGGGCTTGTGAATGAATAGGCTTATGAACAAGTAAATATGGTATGTTGAATCTGCTCAATAGTTTAAAAAGAGCCAGAGTCTTATGTCTGTCTTTACAGAAAAAGGAATGGTCTGTTAAGTTTTTAGGAAAGGGAATTAAATTTAAATTAGCCCAACAGTCTAATGGGAGCAAGATTGTCCTAAGTGCAAAATTCAAAGTTGTCATATATGTAGATTTATCTAGTGGGCAGTATAAGTTAAAACACATAAATTTATGTAGAGGGCAGTAACAGTTGTCATTAGATGTAAATTTATCTATAGAGCAGTAACAGTTGTCACACATGTAGATTTTTTTTTTTTGTGTGACAAATGCTCATTTATTTAGTGGGCAGTAGACATTTTTTTTACCACAAAACACTTTTTTTTTACTCAGCAAAGCTGTCATTTTGAGTATAGTATATTGAATATACTATTTAATTACCTTAGGAAGTTAGAAAATTACAAACTCTGTTTGGGTTATTTCTTTCTCTTAGTACAATCTTACTCTCGAAGTACAAAAGATATTAAGGGTGTTTGTTATTTTATGTCATTGAGTGTTTAGTGACTGGTTTAAGTTTCCAAATTATATTTTTTATATTCTGAATTTATTTAAGTACAGATAGTTCACATATATATATTTATTAAAACACATCTGCAACAGCAATAAAACTCACTTGACCTGGTCCACAGAATGCTCAGTGGTGCTTGATGTTTGAGAAGACGTTTTTAGCTTCATGAGATTCATCTTAGTTTCAATGGTCATTGTAAATCCCCCTGTGTATTGAACATCCATTTCTATCCATAAACCCCGCTCATCTAAATAGGGTTTACCAGCATGCTCAATAGCCGGCATTTCATTTCCCAGATTAATTTTTGTTACTTTCAGTTCCTCTATAAAATATGGCACCTGATAAATAATAAAAAAAATTGAAAATGTCGTACTATCTAGTTCAAGTATTTCTTTAAAAATTATTCCTTAACTATTAACAGATAAATCATGACTATTGTAAAGCAAAAATTTTGTCTAACCAGTATGTAAAGATATCAAGTTTGACATAATAAAAGTGCTTAGATTATAGCAAACATATAAATAAAATCAATAAAGGTGTATAATTCTTTATTAAATCTGGCTTAACAAGCATAGTTTTATAAAAACTCACATGAATCTTACTCAACTTCCTCTGCAACTTTTGTTTCACTTTGTCAATCCACCATTTATCCCGCAGGAAATCAAAAAAGCACCTGCCAATGAGTGCATTGACCCAGTACAGCTGACTATCACATTGAATGCTGCCAGGTGGGCTGACCGGCTTATTGTCATCCGTCTCTTTTCCAGTTGCATTTTTATTAAACTCTTTCGTACTGGTGCTCTTTACCAGCTCCTTACTCTGAACAGAATGAGTGGGGCTTGAACTGGGAGACAAGGTCCCAGCAGGCATCAAACGACCCATGTAGTGAGCAAAATCTAACAAGTTCTCTTTCTGAAGAAACATCATTTTAAAAATTAAATAAAGATTTTACTATATGATAAGTATTTTCTACACACCAGCACTGTTGTTTATTGCGCTCTGTTCATATGGAAGTTAAAAAAACATCTTTTTTTCTTCCATACTGGTTCAAAATATTTCAGTGCATTTTATGGTACAGAATAGGAAATCAAGGATCCAGCTAAATTGAATAAAATAAAATCCGCTAAAACCAACTATAAGATAAATACAGGGAGGATTGCATTCAGGTTGAACCAATAAAAAATATAAACAGGGTAGAGGAAAACCTGAAGGACAATTTTTAAAAAGTGTATTTTTTGGGCCAAGAAGCTTGTAAGTTGTCATGTCCTCATTTAATTGCTAACTCTTTCTCTCTTCGTCCCCTTGTATATATGTCATGACTATTTAAAGTAAGATTCTTTTCCCTTCTTCTTTTTATGACTTATGTATTTGATTTATTTGTGATTTTGTAGAACCACAAGATGAGATGGTTTCTATGCATAAAGGTTTGAAGTCTTTTCCAATCTTTCTTCTCTGACCTCCATCTTTGTGAACCATACGAACAGTGAAAACTTAACATTCTAATTATTTTCACTCTTTTTGTATTAGCCTAGAGTTCCAAATATCTGTAGGTAAAGCAAGAGCCCATTTGCCTTCTGTGTTATGTCCATGTTCACGTCCGCAATCCATGCTAACCTTACCTACGCAGTCCTTGCTGTTTTTTTGTTGTAATCTTCAATTTCTCTCTTAAGTTGTTATATTTTATTTATTTATTTGTTTCTAATTTGTTATGTTGCCTATTAATCGCATAAGCAAATTCTTTGATTTCATAGGATGATTCTATAATTGACTATATCTAACATTACTTTCAACTACATATCTGCACAAGATGAGTTTGTCTGTCTGCATTTTTACCGTCGAAGGCTTCTTTGCTGAAACGTTCACTTTTTTTTTGTATTGTATTTAATCAGGATTTCAACTACTTTGTTATATTTCTTAAACAAATTAGCTGTGCCCCCTGTGGTGATGCTCAAACCAGATAGTTAAGTTTTAATTTTATAGCCAAAGAAAATAAATTTATATTAAATATACCGGTATCTGTATTTTATACATGAGAAATTTTGTCCTGTGTTTGTTCATAAAATAAGAAAAATGCCAACTTCAACATTCTGGGATAATTTTGAATATCTTTTGTAAAAGTTATAAATTTACTGTTGGAAAATAAATCTGACATTATGAAAACTTTGCATCAGAACAAAGGAAACCCAATTAAAAATTTTTGAATCTGTAAATCCAAAAAAAAATACAAATGACTGATCTTTCACTGCAAATCTGTTATTTTAAAATCAATGGCTATACTATTCTAGTATTTTCACAAAAGTAGAAAAAATTTATAATTTATAATCTAAACAAATATTTAAGCTGAAAATTGCCAGATATTAAAATTAACAATTGCTATCAAAATTAATTCCCCCCCCCCCAATTGAAACTAAAAAAAAAATTCATTGAAAATAATAACGTTTTTCTAGATTTTCAAATAATGTATTGGTGGATCCATAATAAAATATAAAAAAATTAATAATTATAAATTAAAAAAAAATTTAAAATTAAAAATGCCACAAATTAAAAATAAAAAATGCTAAAAAAAATAAATCCCCCCCCCCCCAATTGAAACTAAAAAAAAAATTCATTGAAAATAATAACGTTTTTCTAGATTTTCAAATAATGTATTGGTGGATCCATAACAGCCATTACAAGGCATGGTTTATCTGCTAGTCATGGTTATATATGTAAATAAATATATTAAAGATACACAGTGAAGCCTTGTACGACAAAAGCCCCACATGATAACCTTATTATTCCCTTACTAATTACGTGTTGGAAATTTTCAAATTTCAAAGTGTTTCCGACCATCAGCCTTGCATATCACACAAATATTTATGGACTAATTAAATTTGTGATATGAGGCCTCACTATGTGTATATATACACTCACAGTGTATGTCTCTTTCTGAAAAAAAAAAAAAAAGAAAACATTTACTAACACAATCAAAAATTAAAATAAAACCTGGTGCTGGCTTAGAAAACTCACACTGTTTTCCTTTTGAACATCAGGGTCTTCAAGAGCATCAGCTAGTGATGACACAGACCCCACAGACTCTGTGGAGCCTTCACGCTTGGTTCTTGGTACAGCATCAGTATTCTTTTTAACAGTTGTTAAACTCTGTGACAGAACTCGTCGCAGCTCTAAAATATGATTACCTGAGTCACAAAGAGACAAAATTCAATCCATTTGAATACACTGAAGTTTTCAATCAATGAGGTAAAACTGTCCAGTCATAACAAAATCCAATCATATTCTTACTACCACATTGTTAATTAGGTACTTGTGATAATAGTGATGTTCTTTATTAATTAAAAAAACATTCCCATATATTTACAAAGCAAAGGATTTCTTAAATTTATAAAAAATGTATTAGTCTATATTTTTTTGGGTCTGCTTGTGAAGTTTTTTCTGTTGTACATTTAAAATGAAAGAAGTTTCTAGTATTTTATAGCTTTTTTAGCATAGTCTTATTGTGTAAGTTACTAACACAAGTTTGTACCAGTTTTCCCTGGCTATTAAAAGAATGATAAAATAAAATTGCACATGACCTTACTTTTAGCTTTGACCCCTTTAACCATTTTGAGCTTCCCCAAAGTTTAACTAACCCTGTTATGACTTACCTAGTATGTCAACCTTGAGAAGTATTAGCTAAAATCTTCCAATTTTCCTCAAACCATTTTGTTTTAGAAACTAATGATGCACTGACGCATGCATTTTCACCATTTAAAAACTAAACCTATGCACCTATCACTATGGGCAGCATTTTTTAACTTTGAGCAACTAATTTCTGGTTGGTTGTTGCATGTCTGCAGTTTCTCATTAGCCTTTTTATGTGATGGGACACAATAAGATTTCATAAGCAAAATAATGTTACAGTCGCTAATCTATCTGACACCTTAAATTATCAGTTAATAATTGCAGACCATTGGTGTTTGTCCCCCCGAGTGCCATAGGGATAAATACACTATTGATAATTAATTGAATAGACTATTTGCTGGCTCCTTGTGAAATTTGTAAGTTGTCTTGTAACATGTGATATAATCTCAAAGGGATGACACGCTTGATAATATTAGCAAACTCCAGCACTCTTCCTGTCTCCTCTCTAATGCCCCCGCCCCCACCACACAGGCACAGTAACTGATCCTACCTAAAGGTGTTCCATTGGCAGCAGCAGTGAACCTTTTGAACCACTCCTCTTTTTCCCGACCAGTCCTGGCAAAAAGAAACAGGACATTGTGCTCACACTTCTCTTCTGAAACCAACAAGAAACCCATGTCAGTTTGCTTTCCTTTCTTTCGACTTCCCATGAGGGGATCAGAGGAGATATGTTTGATTTTGTTAGTGTTGTCACTTGACTGCTTGGTATTAGGCAGGGATATACAGATTGGGTATTTCTTGCTCCAGATTCGCTTCTTGACAAGTCCATTGGGGAGGAGGTACACAGTGGATCCAGGAAGATCAAAGTGACGTTGGTGAATCCAAGCAGGTATGGGCAGGATCTCATCAAACATGGCACGTTTCGGAATAGGGTTTCTAGGACGTTGCATTCTCAGGTGTACACCCTCTAAGCAGATGAAAACTGAATGAGTTTTGTTGATATGGTAATCATTTTCATTGTAATCTGTTAGCTCATTCATCCAGCCCTGAAATAACATTTTAAAAAAATATGACAGAAAATATTCATGTAAAAAATAATAATTAAACACTGCTTTAAACATTTAATGGAGTGTCTACTCAAGTAGTAGTGAAGATATAAAAAAATAAACCTAATACCTGGTATATATAAAAGTTAGACAGTGTAGCAGTTTTCCCTCCTATAACCATAGAAATATGAAGAACTCAAGAGATATAAGTATCTATACAACTATTTCTCATAGATGTGACAGATTTTCTGTGTTTGTTTTCTTAGGGTAGACTAGGTCTGTCAGTTCTCAGTTGTCAATAAGTTAAAAAGGAAACTTATTCTTAGCTGGCTTTGTCCTTCCCATTTGCTATGCCAATTATTTGCATAATATCTATTATTTATGCAAACTGCAAGAGTTTTCAGAATGGCCATTGAAAAATTAAAAGAAGTAGGTTTTCTTTCAGTTAATTAAGAAATAGTGGAATAAGATATGTTTAATCTTGAAATGAGGAGAAGAAAGTAAAATTAAAAGAGCGTTTCTACTAGAAGTTTTCTTCCACTATTTCCTTTACATGGCTTGCACACAGTCCCTCCTATATTATCCTTTAATATGACGTTTTCCTAAAAGTTTTTAAATTCAAAATTGTCTAAATAGATATTGTAATGCACGTTTTTTTTCCCCGCATATTTACAAATACTTTGACTTACCTCAACTTAATTTATGTCAATTTTTCTCTAATAATCCATATTTGACTTAAGTTCTCATAAATTCAGGTTACGGCAGAAACAAGTCTGAAACTTTCAATCCTATAACTAAAAGCTTTACTATAATACTATTTTCAGTACCGGGGTATGTTCTTTTATTTAGCTAAAGCAAGCAGTTATCAGTATTAAATAGCACATTATTTAGGTTTCTCATCTGCCAAATTTATTTCTAACGCTGTTCCCTACCCGACTATGTAAAAGCAATAAGTATTTTAAAATTTAAAAAATTCCTCTCGGAATTTAAATGAATTCAATGCTCAGATTTGGACATAAATGCTTTTAAAAGAATATAGGAAGTGCATCTCTGGTTGACACCATCTTTGCTTATCATTAAGTACTGTTTAATAGTAAAGATTATGGCCAGGATGATGAATTCTGGAGATGCTTTTGTGGCTTTTCCTGTAAATAATGGTGTAAAACATGAATGTATCCTACCCACATCACTTTTTAGCAAGGTATTCTCTGCAATGTTGACTGATGATGCATTTTTTTACAATACTGACAGCATTCCTATAAGATACAGGACAAATGAAGGGCTGAGGAGACTGCAAGCCATTACGAAAGTTTAAAAAACGGTTATTCAAGACCTCTTGTTGGCTGATAACCGTGCCCTAAATGCAATCCTCAGAATTGAAAATGCAGCAAATACTTGAGCGCTTTGCTAAGGCCAGCGACAACTAAGGCTTCGTCATCAATATAAAAAACCCAGAGATCTTGCACCAGCCAACTCCAGGAAAAGATTAAAAAAAATAAAATATCAGTGAAAGGGACAGAATCTTCAAGCAGTGGAACAATTCACATATTTGGACAGCAACCTCTCCAGGTCAATAACAGATGATACAATTAACAACTGAATTTCCAAAGCAAATGTTGCATTTGGAAGGCTCCGCAACAGTGTGGGAGGAAAGGGGTCTCAGTCTTGTCACTAAGCTGAAAGTATATAGAGCAATCATATTAACATTTATCCTATATGCTAGCAAGACGATGACAGCGTACAGCAGATATGCTAGGCAGCTAAACAATCTCCACCTATGCAGTGTACATAAATGTCTTGGCATAAGGTGGCAGGACAAAGTCCATGATATAAAGGTCTTAAAACGGGCTGATTTTAGCAAAATCCACAAGCTCCTACAAAAAGGATAAGTCAGATGCACAGGGCATGTTGCAAGAATGCCAGACAGCAGACTTTCCAAACAACTAATGTTCAGTGAACTCTCTAGTGGGGAACGCTCAGTTGGTGGGCAGAAAAAACACTTCAAGGACTATCTAAAGCGTCCGTCTAATCCATGGACATTGACCTTGATTCTTGGAAACACTTGCCATGGATTGTACAAGCTGGCGTGGCAGACCAACTGTTGGAGCACAATCCTCAGAGTATAAGTGCACTGCTCACACCCAAAGAAAAGAAAAAGCAGGATCAACTCAAATTCAACTAAGACCAAACACAATGTGTATCCCACATGCAGGAAAGCTTTCCAGGCCACCTGCATACTCACTGTGGAATATAGCGCCGGTCCTGGTCATCTTTGCATGCGAAGGATGAACAACAATACTAAGGATTCAAGAATTAAAAATTATATATGAATCACTTAACTTCAAATTGAAAATACTAAATATCATCTATTTGATTTTTTATGCTTAGTAAAACTAAAATTAATTTGTTAAAATTACATACTTTGTATATACCCTCATCTGCTTCATTTGTCACCTTCATCTCTGGAAAAGGTGCTTCTGTTACTGGTTGAGGCACATATGGTTCTTGCGGTGAGGGTGGTTGCATTAACCACAAGTATATACCCCATCCAGAAGACGTTAGCAAGGCGCCCATAAGGAATCCAGACACATATGTTGGCAACGGTACAATAAGGTAAGCAAATATCACAATTATAACAGTGGCCAGCTTTTGATATGGTAAAACTGGGAGAGAGTCTAGGCTTAAATGTCGTAGAAGCTTACTCGATTTTGATTCAATTAAGTTTGATGAAGATTTCTTTTCTTCTTGTGGCAAATCTTGATGTTGCTCTTTGATTTCATTTGATAGCCTAGCTTCAAATGGGTCTGCAATTTCTTCATCCGGTGTGTAATGCAAACCTGACATAGTAGCAACAGCAGAAGTTTTCGGTTCTTTCTTCTTGATGAGTCTATGCAATTTTGAGCGGGGTTTGAGTTGAGTTGAAGTTGAAAATCCTGGAAATCCTGTGAAATCTTCAGAGGGTTCACTGGTGAAATATTCCTCAAGCACTTCTATTTTAGAATGAATGTCCTTGACTTCCTCTAAATGTGCATCATGAAATTCACATCCATCTTCATTTAAACTTAACTTGTTCTTTTTTGGATCCACTACATGAGGTTCTATCACATCTTCAAAACCGTCATCTCCATCTGTGTGGGCCAGTGGGTGGTCGACTATAGAAATTGACTCCTCAGGGAAAAGACCTCCAGCTTCTGATGAAGACACTAACATTTCTTTAGGGCTAAGACTATTGAGGGGCAAAGATGATACTATAATTTCATTAGCAATAGCCATATCTTTTTCCTGACCTGGTGAGGGCAGTTCCTTTTCAGGTGGTGCTGAGTGCAGCAAGTTTATGTTTTCTTTTTCAACAGGCCCAAAACTATTACTTCTAGGCAAGGGAAAAGACTTAGGTCTTTCTTTGTCTGGGCTGGGACTGTTGCTAGAATCTCCAGAAAACTCCTCAATAGTTCTAGATATTTTGTCGGTGATTTTACCTTTGAGCCCAGAAAATAACTCCTTTGATGACTCCAATTTAGCCCTAGCAGCGTTCCTCAGAGGTGAATTAGTACTTTCTAATGGAAGGGATTTTAATGTGGATTTTTGGGAATCCACTATGGGTTCACTTGAACACTTTTCAGGAAATTTACTTTCTCCTGGCACAGAAGATGTAGATGATATTGATGATGTGGATGGTGTTCTCTCTTGGACTTTTTTCCCCACCTTTTGAGATTCTTCAATAATTTTTTCATATTTTCCAGTAAAAGCTGTGAGGTCTTCCTCATCCTGATCTTCAAGCTGCTTGAAACTGAAGCCTGACAAGCTGAGGCTCCCTCTAGCTGCATTGCTTGGAGGAGGAGGCCTATCTGGCTTAATAACGCTTTTCTTTGAATTCATTATGATCCTGAAAAATATAAATGCAGTCTGTATTTATTTGTTCTGTGCATTTCATTAGAAATAAAACATGATTAAAAATCGTTTGATTACCTACTACTAAGCTTGAATTTGTATAATTTATAATTAAGGTCAAAGAACACTGATTCTGTACCATTGGAAATCAATGACTTTATCTTATTTTTATCTTTCATATCAGAAGACAGTTATTAAGATTATTTTTGTCCATAGCAAGACAAATGTATCATAGATTTAATAGGAATAATTTATGTATCACATTTTATTTAATACTTAAATTTTTTACTATTCAATCTGTGATATGATGTTATCCATACTTTCTACCTTGATCACGGTTGCCAATTAAAAAATACTGACTAAAACACTTGATATCCACAATTATTATGGACTAATGATATTTTTACGGACTAAATTTTAAGATAAACTTACCAAGTTAAAAAATAGCCTTACACCCCTACAACAATTATTTGTTTTTTGACCATGTCTCTATGACTCTTTGTCCCGTGACTATGAGGCTTGAACATATTATGCAATGTCCAGCGTCACATTTTTCATGATTATAATTCAACAAGTTTAAAGTAAGCATGGAGAAAATAAAAAACGTTGAGTTATCCTGCTTTGTTTGTCAAATGTCTCATTTCTTTATAGAAAAACTAAATTCTAATGAAATCTTACATAAAAATCATTTTAGGTCAAATTTTAAAGAAATTGCTGTAAATTTACTAACAGTTGGCAACTCTGACCTTGATTAAGTTTTTTAAAAAAATTGTGTAAAGGCCACTAAAACAGTGAAAGGGGATGATGGAAGTTGGATAGAGAATGAGGCTATATAATACACATTTTCCTTAAGCTGTCAAAACTCCATTATGACATGGCTAACTCCTCTGATATGACATAGCAGAATCTTCTTATTTTAGATTTTATTTCAAACTGGTAAACTGCATTAAAGTGATTATGTTTTAAAAAAAAAAAATCACAGGCTTAGTTTCTTAAATTAAAATGTGCGAATTTAAATAGCTGCAATTACTTAAAATAGATTTGCAGAGCATTCAAATGATCCAGATTAATTAAAGTAAAGACATTTTTAAAATTTAGCCTTTAGGGGTTCATGATGGAGAAAATTTAAATCCTACATAAAATTTTGTGGTATTTTTGAGTATTCGAAGGATTTAAATATGCCATTTTTATACTGTCAGGCATTTCAGGATGATTATTGAAGAATTTTTTAATAAATGCACATACTTTCTGCCGAGACCCCCCATATGCACGCATACACAAAAATCTCCAAAATCAACACACACCCCATCCCCCTTAGTGCGTACATACTAATATCTTAAGAAAAACATCAGACTGTTGAGCCAGAGCTCATTAGGTCTTCCCCAACATACCCCTTCTTCCTCTTAACCGAAGAGTGTTTGATTCTAATCAGGCCATGAAAATTAAAACAAGGCTATTTTAATTATGATATTTGAAGGGTTCGTGTCTGAATTTTCTGACATCTTTTGGATTTTAATTTTGATGGAACCTGTAATTAAAAGTGTAAAAGTGTATTTAATGAAACTGTAAGTTGGGTTTCCATTATTTTGAATATTTTAAAAATAATTAAAATCAGTTCTTCAAATTTATGATTTTCGCATTACAGGTACAGTGTGTCACTGTAGTATATGTACATGTGGTTTTAAGGTTCATGTTATTTCATAGATTTTAGGTTTGAATATTACGCTTGAGTGGGGTGGGGGGACAAGACTAAATTTAGGTTTGAAGATTATGTTCGAGTTAGGTTTACTGACTTTTTCACTCTGTAAATTTAGCATTCAGATTAGGCAGAGTGATATAATTGCCCTTATTTTTCATTTGTGTCAATGAGTAACACACAGTCCCAGTTTCCCCTCCCATTTTCACACTGCATTTTTTGGAAACAGGTGCCAATTTTTTTTGCCATGACTGGAGATGTTATGGCAACAAAGCTGTACGATTATTGCAAAAAAACATGAAAAGAGGGGACCAGAATAGCATAAATGTACCAAATTTAAATACTAAATTGGTACTCCACCACTTGAACATTGGTTATGAAAAAATAATGTTGCTTGGGTTTGCATTGCTATTTAAATGGTTTATGCTTTATTGATAAGATAAAATTATTTTATTATTTTTTTCTATCCAAATGATGGAAATTGTTTTTATGACATTATACATATTCATTTCTTCACATATATAAATAGTCAAACATAGCAATTTAAAAATATAAAAACTAAAACAATGTTAAAAATTTTAAATAAGAAAAATTTTAACAATTTAATATATGAAAAGATGGCTGATTTTGGGTTAGCTGTAAGGCAGACAGAATATAAGTTACATAGGTTCCCCATGGTCAATTTCCATCTATAATGCAGTATTCAAAAGATTTCGACTTTTATGATTGTGTTCACTTAATGTAACTTAATGCAAGTTTTTGAAAGTGGGGGAGGGGATAACTTTGTTTCATATTTTGGTATTTAAAGTGGAAGGAAAATTGTGGTGAAAGTCCTGTTTAATGATAGAAAATATCATGTACTTCAGTGTAAAATACTTTTTTTTTTAACTTCCAACTTTTGCACATGACTAATTAATTAATTAAAGCTTTGCATGACCAATAGTTTAATAGAATTTTCACACAACAAAATCTTATGAATAAAAATCTGAGATTTTGCACATAGAAAATTATGATAATTTATAATAAGGACTCTACCGGGTTTTTAAATGCATTCTAAAGTCATTCTGAAACACAAGTTATCAAATATTTCCTAAGCCTAAGCTATTGCACCAATGCCTATTTTCAATACAAATTAAGTAGTAGTCTCCCTTTTGTTACCTAATTTTAACATACATTTACAGGTACTTCGATTTCCACTATTTAAAAGACAGCACTTTTAGTGTGTACCTTTTTTTCCCCACTGGTGTTGTGTCTTGGGGCATCAGCAAGGATGTTTTTCTTTTTTCATTTCTTTTTAAACTTGAACTTTAATAAAAAAATCATGGAACCTTTTATTTGTTAATACTAATACTTTCTATTAAACGTATCAGTATTGATCATCAGTTTTAGTTTATCACCAGTGAAGAATGGGAAAGTTATCATAAATCGTTCAGGTCTATTCACTGGAAGTCTAGTGTTGGCATTGGGATTCCCCAAATTGACATAACTCTGCTTAGGGTGAGATAACTCTTGGCAAATTCCATCGCCAGCCTTACCGCTAACTTAAAAAATCAACTGAGCAGTCAACTCTGTCTATCCCACCGAAAACCCAGTCGGTCTCTCTCCACAATAACGGACATCAATAAAAGAATAAGCATTTAAATAGCACTTCAAACCGCAATAGGATTTTATCATAACCCACGCTCAAATGGAAGATTACCTACTAATTAACTAAGCATACTAGAACTACTACTACTACACTACAACATCAGTATTCAGTATAAGTATAAACAGTATATTATATTAAAATAGTAACAAAAATATTTAAATTAATTATGATTTATTAATTATAATTATTCAAAGATGGATTTTAATTTATTAAAATTTAAAGATAGGCCGTACTGTAATTAAGCTGTCAGTTATCAAATAATTATCACAAATTTGCCACGGCCACGGCCATGGGCAATAGGTAATAATTTTTAATATTGTATTTTCCAGGCACTTGCGCAGTAAACCCACTTATCTGTTAGTGTTGTCACTGTTGTGGACTTATGGTGGTTACATCCACGCAGTAAATACACATTTTAAACACAAAATTGAATTAAATTTTAACTTAATTTGTAAAAAAAAAACGAATGAATTTTTAAAAGATTGGAAAATACTATTAAAACTTTTAGAGTATTTCTGTTTAATAAAAAAGTATTTAAAGTAAGTTAAAAATGTAAACTTGGTGTATGACCGTGACTGCTATGCAACATGCAACACACACACCAATATGGAAGACCATTTGTTTTGCTTTTTTTCTTAGAAACTTAATAAGTTCAAGTTATGTTTTTTGACGTTATTATAATTAAAAATGACACATTGGAATATTCATTTCAAAGTAAAGCAGACTTTTCAAGGAAATATGCGAATACATATTATTTTTATGTCTCTGCTTACTTTATTTATGTCACAAATTCAAGTTGTGCATGGAACTGTTGTTACTGACCAGGAGGTAATAAAATAAATTATAAAAACAAATGGCCCTAGTCACTAGTCTTGAGCCGGCTAATATTAAGGACGGATGCCACGGCGTCTTTTGTGTGTTTATTGTAATTGCAGTGTATTAGGGTTTAGGTTAGGTTGAGGAATCGATTTAGGGTTCAGGTTAGGCAGGGATCGATTTAGGGTTCCAGACCTGTTTACTCTTACGATTTTGGCGTACAATGTAGGATTTTGAGGTATATACACTACATATATATATACTTATGTTTATTTTTTATTATTAAGATAATGTATTTAATGATTTTCTGATGATATTGTACGATTTTAAGAGTGTAGGGGTAAACAGGTCTGGGGTTCAGGTTAGGCATAGTCTGCATAGGCATAGGGATCAATTTAGGGTTCAGGTTAGGCATAGTGTAGATACTTTGGTCAAAAATGTAAACATTTTGTAAAAATAAACCAATGGCATAGTTGAATAGAGCTAAATTTTTACAGAATTATAACACCAAAATCATATTTTTAGCTGTTGTTGTTTTAAAGCTATGAATTTTTAAAGTACGACTTGGTTTGTCCTTTTTTAACATGAACTGCATCTCCACATTCTGTGACCTCATTCCGCCGATCGCGTCATGCGCAGTGACTTTATAGTTTATATAAGGCTAAGTCATTCCCTTATCACTAAAATACTGTTTAAGGTTGACTTATTTTAAACTTTCAACTTTGGCACATGAATAATTAATTAAAGCTTTCCCTGACCAATGGTTTAATAGTTTTTGCACACGACAAACTCTTATGAATGAAACTCTGAGATAGTACTACGATATAGCCGTTATGCAAGTGGCTGTGAATGGTTGCCAATGACAACGTGTTGCACACGGAAAATTCTGATCATTTATAATATGGACTCTACAGGGTTTTTAAAGCTCAAATTAAAACATTCCAGTTTAAATGTCTTCAAAATGCATTCTGAAACACAAGTTATCAAATATTTTGATGTATATAGTGGTAATAATTAAATATTTCTTAAGTATCGGCAACTTCCGCCATTAAAAAGGGGGCGTGGCCCACGCCATGTCGAAATAAGGCTGAGCCCCCTTATGGTGATATGGGTCACTGGGAGAAGCGTAGCGAACGTGGGACACGACCTACATCAATGAGAATTGGCACAGATATATATCAATATCTAATGCCTTACACGACTTAATATGAAAGACATGTTCGTTTTATTTCACACAAAAATTTTGTATTCGAAGATGCCTTATATATACCAAAGATTTTCAAAATGAAGGTCGATTGAAAAAAGCAAAATAGCTGGATGGAAATGTAGGCCAAGATGTCTACCAAATTATTAGGCCGGAAACGGAACTCAAATATATGTCGAAAGAACTAATTTAATAATAAATAGACACACACATCGGAAAATTAAAAACTCGGATTTTTCGGCGCCGACGCCATTCCCGATACAAAAAAAAGTAGTAGTCTCCCTTGTTTTATCGAAGTATCTACATAGTGTAGGGATCAATTTAGTAGGGATACATTCGTGAAATTCGATAAAATAGTGGCATTCGTCCTTAAAATTTACCCTTGAGCCAAATACTTAAACTAATATTCCATTTATTGATATGTAATTATACTCTTTAGACGTCAGAAAATTTTTATTGATGAAATGTTATCACCTACTTAAAAATTGTAAAGAAATGAAAATGTAATATCAATCATTGTAAATCATCGATCAATTGTCAATGTTATTAATATTATATTATATTTATTTATATTAATTATTAAACATGTGTACAAAATCTTTTCGGATTTCCAACTAATATGTGGAATGGATTAAGTTTGTGGCATGAGGCTCCAGTGTATTTAAGTCTAAATAATAAATAAATAACACTAGGATGTGAAAGTCACTGAAAGTGAATGTGTCAGGAAAGGGTGCAATGAGCCCTGGGACTAATGATCACTAATGAGACCCAGGCCCGAATAGCGGCAATGCGTTTCCAGTTCCATTTTGACTAAATGCTATTCGGATGTCATTTGTGGTATTTTATTTTAGTTAAACTGAAGAAGTATGTTTACAAATATATAGTCCATTCAATTATCTTTCATTTGATACCAAGTTTTGTCTTACAAACCCTACAATAATTATTTTTTAATAAACCCAAACTCTCACTTCTCGGACCCGGGTCTGAATAGTCGCAGCCTTATAATATTTAAATTTTATGGTATTTTGGAAAATGGATATTGTATTGATTTTTCGGAAAACTTTTGGATTTTATTTTTGGTGGAACCTGCAGTAAAGTGTGTAAAGGAAAAGGGTATTTGGTGAAACTATAAGTTGGGTTTTCATTATTTTAAAAATATTAATTATTGTTTTTCTTAATTTTTACACTGTTCTTACAACAGGGTGTAACTGTAACTGTGTTTTAGTTGAGGTAAGGGAGCGGCCGCATGTTTTTGACTCTTCTTGCCACCCATCTAGAGGGATACAAATAATGTTGCTACATTTACCATGAAACTAATGTACTGGCTGAAATTACGCCAGGAAAGGGGGACTGCAGCTTGTTGACACTTTTTGACGCCTATTTGAAGGGATACAATAAAGTTGTTACGTTTGCCATGAAATTAATGTACGGCTGAAATAATTTCATTAAATTTTAACTTTTTTTTTTCCTATTTTTATTTCTCTGGCTAAGTGACGAAAACAGCACATTCTCCATCTTTCCTCTCCCCTTCTTAGCAGATGTGTGATTGCACTACTTTTTTCTTTTTACATGGCCACCATCTTGGTTGCCATGATGCATCTGAGGTCATTGGTAACCAGATGGCAGGGTTGGGAAATGAGTGGGGCGGAAAACGTAAATTTAAAATAATTTGAATTCAATTATTATTTTACCACAGTCACAATGGCTAAGTCTAGGCCTTTTAGGATCCACAGTTAAGTACTTATCTTAATTGTGCATGTTAATCAATTTATGGTGAGGGTTATTGGAATCATTCCCTGCCTACTGGCCAATGATAGTAAGAGACGCTTTTAGTCAGTAATCTAGGTTTTTTTTTGTGTACATAACCTATACACATGGTTGGGAGTATTAAAGGGGAGAAAAATGTAGAAGGAAAATTCAGTGACCCAAGCGCTGCAACAAATTTATACATCATTGATTTCAGCATTGTTTCTTATCTTAAGAGATAATAAAAATCACTGTGCGAAATGCAGCAGATTCTTGATGGGTGTCATGCGGGTGGCAAGTTTGAGAACTGTGCTCTAGGCTATAAATCATACTATTTCTTTCTTTATTTTTTCATAGATAACTCATCAGCTTAGTACCCAGGACTCTGTGCTTTTTATATCAACTTTAAGTGGATCCTTCTACACTGTTAGTCGTAGCACAGGCAAGATCCTTTGGTCCCTGAAGGAAGGTAATGGAAAATAATATTTTATACTGAAAAAAAATTTCCTTAAAACATGATACAAGTTACATAAAGTTTATGCATAAACATGACGGTTCCACCAATAAGCTATATGGGGGCTTACAATGATCAGCCTAGCTACTACATCCACTGATGCCCATTAATCGGCTGCCAATAATTTATTATATATAATAATTTATTGTGCTTTTAAATGTGTGTTGTAATATATTGTTGGTAGTTTATTAGGCTACTCAATAACTAATACAATTATAAAGCTACTGTTGGGTTGGGGATATTTAGCGTAACAATTATTATAGTAACTAGGTGAAGAAATGATTTATAGCACCCTTCTGATTTCCGAATGTGCTCCTTGCCCGTCTATTAGAGAAATTAACCTCTGATTGCCCCTAAGGAAAGTGGACTGTCATCAAAGTGAAGTTGCTTTGACCTATGAATGGGCCAGAAATGCCTCTAATAATGGCATCATAAACATGTTCATTAGTAAAAATATTAAAGTTTTTAAAATTATTTATATCGGGCAAAAGCATAATGTTTTTGTTTTTTTAATGCCCTGCGTCATCTTAAAAAATCACCTTATCGGGTGATAACGTCTCAGAAAATAAACTTTGGGGCAATGCATTATTTTATTTTAAGGGATATGTTCAGCCTGATTCTCTTAGCTATTTTTTTTAGTGATTCCCGGCTTCTTGTCACTGATACTATCTTATACTTATTATCAGATCCAGTTTTGAGAGTACCCCTAGACTTCTCATCAGGGTAAGAAAAGAAAAGTTTTTATCAAGGTCATTTTTATGATGCAAGAGATGCTTATTCTATTTGTTTATTTTTTATTGCTGATGATAACTTGATTAATATGAAAAATTATATTTTTCTATGGGATAACTAAGTAATAATTTTCTCTTAATTAATTTCCTCCCTAAACTGAATTCATGGAAAATGGGGAGTGATCTTTTTGAATGTATGATCACTCTCCAGATAAGACTGATTGTGTCTACAAGTTTATTTTAATTATAATTTATTTGTAGGCAATTTCAGTTTGTGTTTAAAAAAATAAATAAATATTAAATTTTGTATTAATTTTTCTTCGTAAGGCCAAGTTTTTTACCAGATCCTAGGGATGGAAGCCTGTATGCAATCAGTGCCAATCGAGAGCCTATCAAAAAGTTGCCTTTTACAATACCCGAACTGGTGACTGCAGCTCCATGCAAAAGCTCAGAAGGAATTTTTTACACAGGTTTGAATAATTTTAGGACCTAGTTAGCAAAGTTAACATGTATTTGTAAAGGCTGGTTAGATTCTTTTTGATTTGACAATGTCTAGATCAGATATTGCCATCTCCCAGCTTGAATATGGAAACCATTTTGAACAAAGCAATTAAAACACGTTTTGCTGCCTTTGTGTCACCCAGTATTGAAGTTTTGCTACTATGTGCTAAATATATATGCATGATTTCCAAATAACAAGATATCAGTGTTCTTTATTTAATTCATTTTTTGCTCTGGGATTTGTGTCAAATATAATTTTATATGGCTCCTATAATCTGGTGAATTCACAATAGTTTGTAATGTATTATGTATTTCAGTATTAATTGTATTTATATGTGAATATATATATTAAAAAGTTTATTTTGATTAAAAAGTTTATTATACTCTAAAACTTTTGTAAACCTCTCACTATGATGGTGGTAATACTTTTATTTTGTGAATGAGTTTATTATTAAATATTCTTTCATGTGTTTATTAAGAACTGATAGTAGTTATTGGTTTGGTATCTATATTTTGCATAATAAAAATAAATGATTACATTTCTTACATGTCAGGTTCTAAACGTGACATGTGGTTAGCAATTGACCCACTTACAGGAGCAAAAGTTCAAACGCTATCATCGGATGGAGCACAAAAAGTTTGCCCTTCCTCAAATGATAACCTTTTATACATAGGCAGAACTGGTGAGAAAATACATAGTAACAACATCCATGCATGTTATTTTGTAGTTTGCCATTTCAATATTCTGAAATATAATTTTTTGAAAAAGTGTTGGGGTTTGCCATTGAATAGAAAAGCTAATAAATTTCATATGTGCTTGGCTTGTTTGTTGTCATTATTTATTGTATCTAATGAGTGCATAATAATATTTTCTTTTCAGAATATTCAATTATGATGTTTGATGCCAAAACTGGAACAAGAAGGTTAGTTCTTTCTTTGTCTCAATATTTTTTTTAGAGTGTCTCTTTATTTGAGCAGCATGTGTGCTTTCTTAAGTATTTTAACTGATTTGGATAACTATTTATCCAGAGACTTTTGCAATAAAAAGTTAAATTCAGGACCAAGCATTGTCATTTTTATGTTTGAGGTTGAGTGCCTAGTTTGGCTAAACACACAGTTTTGTTAGTTTTCATCCAGCTTTCACAATAGTATCATTCCTGGCAATGTAATTTTTTTAATGTGCACCCTTTAGATCAATACTTATTTTAAAACAATCATTAACTAAAGTTAAGAAATACGAAATTTCATGTTTTAAAAAAATTATTAAAGGTTGTAAAGATTCATTTTATGACTAACACAGACCTGTTTACCCCGAAACTCTTAAAATCGTACAATAGTTCAATAATTATCCTAATAGTAAAATAATAAACATAAAGTATATATAATTATAATGTATACACCTCAAAATCATACATTGTACGCCAAAATCGTAAGAGTAAGCAGGACTGCTAACATTTTTGCACCTGTATTTAAGAGGCACTTTTAAAAATTCATACAATGTTCAGACGGTATTTCAAGAAACTCAAGTATTCATCAAGATTTTGAATTAATTGCTCTTTTGGTTAATGCTTTCCAGCTGGAATGCAACATACATGGACTACTCATCACATGTTGCACCAGATGTCAAAGATTATGGTGAGTATAGAAGGGTCACATAAATTTTGGTTCACAAAATAAAACTTATATTGATGTAAAGAAATTTTCCCAGCTTTTGCATAATCTTTTTATGGATAACACTGGTCAACAACTGAAAGTAAAACACAATGGTAATAGGGATTTTAACCCACTGATTCCAGATATGAATTCAGAATCTGCCTAACATGTATAGATTTTAAATCATGCATGTATAGTAATAATAAAATAGCAGGTGTATTGTATTGCACATGCTCATTGTCACAATAAAAATTTGAGCATCCGGAGGCCGCAGTTATTCCTAGGGTTCAACTCTCCCCAGCCAGTCACTTCGTAATATATAAACATATTATAAACTGGAAATTGATATCTGTTTCTATATTGAGAGACGTTATCAAGGCGTCCTAACCTTGGAAAGAAGGTTTCTGCAGTTGGCAAGAGCAGCCACTCTCAAGCCCAAGAGTATGTGCCTAAAGCTTTTTTTGAACCTTTATAGAGGTCAGCTTGGAGATGAAATCTTGAAATATATGCTTTTATATGAGTAACATGCATTTATTTATATTGATTTAAAAACATTTTAATACGATTATTTTTTCTTTTAATTTTGTTGAATTGCTAAATAGATTTCAGCATGTTTTATTCAATTTTATTACTTTGTTGTTAAGAAATCGGACATAAAAATTCTTATTGGAAATAGATAACATTTTTATTTTAATTTCAAGTTATAAAATAGCAAAAAAACATTTGTTTAATTTTATGAATACTTTGCCTATACTCACACAGTTATAGAAGTAAATGCTAGCTCTGTAATTTGTTTGCATACACACAATTTTAATTTTTACTTGAAGCTGCATAACTTAAAATACTAATGTACTACACAAAGTATAACTTCATATTTGGAATTGGCACACTTGATTTACAATAAACCACAGGATGAATGCCAAATAGCCGACAAAAAGATTTTTTTGTCCAGTGCTATTTAAATTTATTTGAAACAAATTGATAGAGTTAAATTATAAGCATTGTGAAACTGACACACACACAGAAAATAAAACACCAGGAGAAAGGAAAGAAATGCAGGACATGTTAGATACACGAATACTAACATGTTAAGATGTTGCTAAACATGTTCTTTTTTCAGAATTGCGCCACTTTGTATCCAGTTCAACGGGTGTTGCTGTTACACTTGAGAGTAACACAGGTGAGATTTTCTGAATTATAAAATGCAAATATGAGTTTTTCCAGTGTGAAGGGATAATGTTCATGCATGTAAATATGATTACAGCTAACATCTTAATGTTATTATTAAAATAAAATATTTAAGTTGAAATTTGTTTGCGCCTTAAATTTTTTGGGTAGCCATGCTAAAATTCCTGGTCCAATCACAAAACATGGGCATTTTTATTTTCAAATTTAGTGTATGTGTCTTTAACAAACATGAACTATTAATTTTGTCTTTAGTTTTCATAAATAATTATTGAGCCCTGAACATTATATTGATTGTGATTTTAAGTATAACATCCTAAGTCTCACAAAATAGCATAACAGTTTCATAAATAATATATTGTAATAAAATTTTTTATAAATTTAAAATGCAGCTACAATTTTTATATTTAACAATAGCATTTTCCCTTTGTAATAGCATAACTTTGAACAGTAAATATATTGATAATTAAAAAGATCTGAATCTTTTTATGTAATATATTTTGTAATGTGAAAAAAAAAAATTTGATTAAAATATTGATTTGATTAAAATCTCCCATTGCAAGTTATTCTGTTATAATTAACCTGATTTTCTTTAGTCGTATTCATTAATCTAGTAAATTAAATATTTAAATCAATTAAAATGTTTACTTTGATTGTTTATTTCAAGGAGACCTGCTGTGGCAGAGAGAATTTGATTCACCTGTTGTGGCCATGTACCAAATGATTCATGAAGGGTTACAGAGGGTACCCTTTGCAAGTTTTGCTGCAGAAACACTAGATCATCTGACAGGTCAGCTTGCCTCTACACAATGGAAGAACAGATTTATGGACATTAATCTGCGACAAACATTTTAGTGAGCACACATTTTTAAAAGTGAATTACATTTAATGACATCAACTTGGAAATTTAGATTGAAGCCAAATAAATTATATTTTAAAAGGATAGTTGGAAGCTTTCTCTCTCCTACCTACTTAAACTCATTGTAAATCATTCATGTCACAGTTTCACCAGTCTCTTTACCTCTCAAAAGTTTATAATTTTAACCCACGAACTGTGGTTGGCTGAAAAAATCGGCAGACATTCTTGTTCTGTACTGTGGCGGCCGAAAAAAATCGGCCAATAAAAAACACGGTCCGATAGCAACTTCCAATGCAATATATAACCGGAATTATAGCCACTTCCTTTTATGAATAATTAAATCATCTTCCTGGTCAAGCTGTTTCTTGATAACTTAAAAATAAGTACTTTTTAATCAGAGTTTTATATCACTGTTTTTTTTTTAAAGCTAAAATGTTTGAAGCCATGGCTGGGCCTTCAGTGCAAGAACTAATATAAATATTTTTGAAAGGTTTTTAGGAGAGGATTTAAGTGATATTGGTGATGATTTTAACATCCCCCATGACGATTTCAGTTGAGAATATTATTCTAGAGAATCTTATACTAGTCTTAGTGATACTGAAGTAGGCCTACTGAGGCTACTGTTAGACTTCGAGCCAGGCCCAGAGGTTGGACAAGGCATGACTGAAATTTAGTCACAGAAGCTACAGATTATAGTTCAGCACTAATAAATTTTATAGTTAAACAACCTAAATCAGTTCCACAGTTCCTTTTTAAATGTTTACGTGTCACTAATAACTATTTTGCGTGAGATTTTGTAATTAGTTTTAGTAATGGTTCCAGTTTCTTATATAAATGACCTAAAATTACTAAAATCGCTTTCAGATGTTTAATTGTAATCAAAACCTTAGCAAACTATACATTTTGTGAAAGATAAATGAATTGGCTACAACATTTATATTTGTGTTTTAAGTGTATCTATAAAAATTAATGATGTTATGAGCACTTGAAAGCAAGACATTTTGTCGATTTTTTTTTTCTTGAGAGCTCCAAGGTCAAGTACATTGAGCAAAATTTTTTTACTGGGTGGGCAATATGGCCAACTTTATCCCCATCCATTTACTTTTCTAAAAATATATACTTATTGGGGTCTTGAATCAATATTTCTATGTCATTTAATGCAATTTCAAATGGCACTCAAAAAAACTCTGAAAAGCTCCACACCACAAAATGATGCATGCCACAGTTCGTGGGTCAACACTCTTTACTCCCTGATTTAGTTTGAATATTTTCTGTTTTAAACCACTAATTCAGAAAGAAAATAATAATGGATTACAAATACACATCTATTTAATTTCATAGCCCAAAGTTATACATTGGTGAATCCCAGCATGGTGCTTATGCCCTGATAACTCTGGTGGATGAAAACACAGTGACAATATCAGTAAGGCTACTACACTTTCTATGGTTCTAAGGGTTTGCTTCTGATTGTTGTAAGTTGTGGCCCTTTTGTCACAAGGTTCAGTCAACATTTTAGATGCTGTCTTTTTGTTGTACATTTCTTACTAGTTGTCTGTCATGAGTATACTCAATGAAATGCATTTGCAGTAAAATTAGACACAAGTAATATATTTTAAGTGTGTTTTTTTTCATATTACTGTGGGATGTATACAGCATAGTGTCTATTTACTTAATAGTTCTTAAGATATTTTTAACTTTTCAATTATCAATTTTAAGCAAATCTTTACAATAGGTTATAAAATTATGCTGATATATTACATACATAGTTTGTCTTCTATTTTAGTTTCTGAAAAGAGGAAATAATTTGCAATTTTTTTATATAGACACGAAGACCTGAAGTGCTACAAATAGAAGGGCCTCACACCAGTGAAGAAACTAAAACAGGTGAAGTGGAGAAGCCAGAGATTGAATCCCCTGTGGACCACCAAGAACGAAATTCATACATAGATGTGATCAATGCTACAACCATCAGGAGAGGAGGAGCTGTGCTCATGATTGGTAAGGGAGAAAGATGTGAGTCTTGTGATTCAGGATTGTAATAATTTTAGTTGGCAGAGTTTGTGTGAAATCTTGTATGGCTCATTGCTATGGCAGATCCAGGTAAAGTAGTAAAAATGCACATTCATGTGAAAAATGTCAGTGAGGAAGAAAGGTTTTTACATTTTTTTTTAAGAGTGGTGGGTGGTTTAACCAATAGAAGCAAGGTTTAGGCTATGCATGTTATTAAATGTTTACCACAGAAAATAGAAGGTAACTGCTAAAAATCAGTTGTTTATTAAATTAAAAAAAAAATTATTACCAGTTAATTTGCACCTGCTGTAAAATTTGAATGGTCCATTTCCCACTTTAATGTGATTACAATCGGTGGCATAGCCAGTGTTAGTGCCACCCAGGGTGGGATTTAAAGATTTAACCCCACCCTCCCCCTTTTTATTTTTATTTACTTGCATGCTGCTGGCAGAAAGTATGTAGAAAAACACTACCACCCTCCTTTGCATTCCAAACTACACTTTGTAATTATAGTTATATTAAAGTTATCGAACTTTTATCATCAGACACCAGCTGACACAGCCAACAGCCCTAATATTCATTATCAAACATTGCCATGCCTGTGCTAATTTTCTAATTAGAAACTATTGCATTCCTCATTTGTCAGGTTACCATGAATTACCCAATGCATCAACTTCAAAGCTGTATCCGACTTATCAGCTTCCTGATAAAAGTGAGGAGAAAATTATTCCTGGGGAAAACAAGACCACCTTAATTCAAGAGAACTGGCTAATATCAACATTCAAATCAGAGTACCAACTCATCACAACGTTGGCTCTGGTTGTGACTGTAATAGGATACTTGATTCACTTTAAAAAGGTGAATAAATGTAATATTTTAGATTTTAATTAATGGCAAATAATCTTGAAAGAATTTAACTTACATCACTTGGCTTTAAAAGGGTTATTAAAAACTTAAAGGTTAACCATTTGTTGTCAGGTAATATCGCTCTCTTTTTAAAACAGCAAAATGAGGCATCTATGAGAAGAATTTTGGAGGAAAGGAGGTGGCAAGAATCAGATTCCTCACAAAATTTAAGAAATACCACAAGTGCAAGTGTTGAACACAAAATTGATGGTAAGCAACACATTTCGATTGTTAAATTAATAAGTTTTTCCATTTATCAAAGTTGATAGGAAAACTAGTTAAATTTAAAGAAAATATGTAGTTCTAAAAAGAATGAATTAGATTATGTCATTGAAACATATAAATTAAAGAAATAGAAAAACTTTGTAAAAAAAATCAACACTAGTTTGACAAAACTTATTCTGTTACTCAAATTTATGTAGTTTGCTTTGTGGGTTTTTTTCCCGTGACTTTCCAAATTCTTATTTCATGTTTTTTAATTTTTTATTTTAAATGGCCAAATCTTTTGATTGCTCCTAAAACTGTACTTTTTATCTTATTTTACAGTAGCTAATCCAGATGGTTTCATTAGAGTTGGTCAAATTATTTTCAATCCCAAACATGTCTTAGGCCATGGCTGTGAAGGGACTTTTGTTTTCAGGTCGGTTTTTATGTTTATGGGTTAAAGTTAAAGTTTTAATAGTTTCACTTTCATAGATCATTTCTCCCCCCGCCCCCCTGCCATCCCCCATAATGTGGCTTTTAGATAGTTCACAATTTTTTATAAAAAGAGAGAGTGGACATTTCAATTGTCTAATTCACATAAATGCATTTTTAAAAATTGAGATTTCAAAAAGAAAATTCTATAACTAATGAAAGGGGAGAACTTTGAAGAAAATTAACTGTGTGTGTAACCTTGTTGTTTGACAGCAGACTGTTTAATTTCTATTGACCCAATCTATCTTTGGTTGTCTCATTTTAAAAAAAATTATTTTCATTATCTTAGGAATTTTTAATCCACACAAAAATTTTAATCTGATTCCTGAAATATAATAGATAGTATATGAATGAATTCTTCTGATCTTGTCTCATCATAGTGGTCAGTTTGATCAGCGTAAAGTTGCAGTGAAACGTTTATTACCAGAATGTTTTAGTTTTGCTGACAGAGAAGTGGAATTGTTACGTGAGTCAGATCAGCATCCAAATGTCATTCGGTACTTTTGCATGGTGAGCAGTAACCAGTTTTATAAAAAATGTCTTTCCATGCATTTGATTGTAGAACTTGAGCAAAACACATTTGTATAGGATTTGTATTCATATTTAGTTTATGGAGCATGTTAGAGAGTTTATCCTTTATCATATATATATATATATATATGAATATATATATTTTATATACATATATGAATATATATATGAATATATATATAAATATATCTATATATGTATATATAAATATATATATATATGACAATATATATATATTATATATGAAGAGCTTATTTTAGAAACAAATGAAATAACCTTACCATTTTGTAGAGCAAACCAGGTTCATTTAGGACATGATAAAGTTTATTTACAAAACACAATCATCCATCCCATCCCTGTGGTGTTACAGCCCATGTAGGGCTTTGGCCCGCCTCACTTCTTCCTTCCACTCAGTCCTAACTAATGCTTTTCTTTTCCATGCTCTGGATTCTCAGTTGCTCTAGATCTTTTTCCATATCATCCATCTAAGCCTAGGTCTGCCTTTGAGCTGTTTTCCTCTGGGGTTTTGGTGATGCACCCTCTTCACTCCTCTGTCATTTTTTGTAGAAAGTTGAATACTCTCAAAACCCCAAAAATCATATACAGCATTTTGAAAATCAGCTCTTCATATATAAATATTTATAACTGCTCTCATTTAAAAGATACCGTTTATGATTTAATGTAGTTTTACTGTCAGTGATTTATATTTAATGAGTTTTTTAGCTCATAATGCTTTGCATAAGCTTATGATAAAATTAAATATAAAATGCCTTTAATGCTTTTAATGCCTTTAACTGTACCTCCAGGAAGCTGACAGCCAGTTCCGCTACATAGCACTGGAGCTGTGTGCAGCCACAATACAAGATTATGTTGAAAAGAAATACACCCCTCCTGTGAAGTTAAAAGCCTGTGATATACTGATGCAGGCAATGTCTGGCATAGCTCACTTACATTCCCTAAATATTGGTAAATTTTCTGGAACAAATAAAATGTAACTTAAAATTTGTTTAAATAAAGAAGGTCACAAGTTAGAAACAACTTTGCGGCGGCTATTTTAAAGTCTAATCATTTGTTCACTTCACATTATTTGGTATCATTTGAGTTTGGAAAAGATGTTTATCTCATTCATCCTTCACTTTTTTTTGTTTTTTTTTTTTGTTTTTTTTTTGAATATGGTGATAGAGTTTATAGCTAATATTTCCAACATGGAGACTGGCCACAAATTAAACTTAACTAGTTCAGGAATTTATTTTTTCTCATGGATCTTTTTTTAAAGCTTTTTTATTTTAAATAAAATGAACTGCTCTATTGCTGTCTAGAAGTGATGTGCATGTTTTTTGTTTTTTTAATTTCCTAGTTCACAGAGATATCAAGCCCCACAATGTCTTAATTTCACCAAGTGCTACAAAAGAAGTCCGTGTCTTGATCTCAGATTTTGGTCTGTGCAAAAAACTTGCAGCCGGCCGCTTTTCTTTTTCTAGGAGGTCAGGAGCGGCAGGCACTGATGGATGGATAGCACCGGAGATGCTCAATTCACATGAAAGAACTGTATGTAACAATGAGATCTTTTCATCAACCATTTATCCTTCCTTCTCTTTAACTCTTTCTCTCTGGATCAATGCTCCCATCGTTGATTTGAAATGAAGATTTTGGGGTATCAACGATGCCATCGTCGATGGATTAAAACCAGTTTCTTTGTTTCTTCTCTTAAATATTTTGTTTTTAATTACTTTTAATCAAATCTAGAATGATTTCCCTTTGTTCAACATCCGGAATTTCCTTCTTTAAACATGTTTTAAAGGCAAAAGACATGTTTCAAACATTTGTGATTTATCAACTTTATTTCTGTTTACAAACATGGAATTTTGACCTGGTCCATCTGGCGATGAAGGTTGAAAATATTACACTGAGGAACAAGCAAGGGGAATAGTTTTTGATGACGATTCAGATAGTGATGTTATCATTTCTGATGCAGTGGCTGCTTCTGATGAATCGTACAATCCTAGTACTAGTAGTATTAGAGGCGATAGTGACAATGAAATTGATACTGTATCAGCTGATGAACAACCAGCCCCGACCGCGTCCCCCCCCCCCCCCCCCCCCCCCCCACTAAAGTGCCTTGTAGAAAAGCAAAGACTGTTCCTAAAATAAACAATGCATATTCTAACTGGAAAGCTGCTGATCTTGGCACTAAAACTGAGTGCCATTTCAGATTTTTACCTAAAATGAATGTAGGAGTAAATTTGGAGCTTGTGACTTGTAAGTCAAATGAACTTTATTTTTTTTTTTACCCTGCTGGACACGCATGTTATTGACAAGCTTGTGCTGTCATTAAATGAGTATGCTGCCTACAACACGCAAGAGATCTTTTTTTAGGGACTGGAAACCTGTAAATAATTTTGAGATCTACCCATTTTTAGCAGTTACTACAATGATGGGGATGAATGCGCGTCCATTTGTATGTGATTTTGGTCCCCACATCAAGTGATGTATTCACCCTGGTTTGCCAAAATGTTTAATCGAGAACGATTAGAAGCATTGTATCACTCTTGTATACATGCCGCTGAAGTTGATGCAGAAAATAAGTGCAAAATTGAGCTTTTCATGAACTCAGTGATAGCCCACTTTTTCAGAGCATTCACGCTAGACCAGCAGGTGTCAATTGATGAAATGATAGTAGGTTTTAAAGGAAGATGGGCCTACAAACAATTTAATCAATCGAAACCTCACAGGTACCACATCAAGAGTTTTGGTCTTGTTGACAGTGCAGCAGGATATGTTTGTAATATCCTAACCTATTATGGCTCCAACACGTCGTACCACCCTTCACTGGATAAAGACAACGGCATAGCCATAAAATATTTGGAACATTGCTAAAAGAAATTGGCCGTGGATACCACATCCTTGCTGACAGATGGTATACTACAAAAGCATTGTTGGACTTCCTTCAAAAGGAAAACTTTTACTTTACTGGTACTGTTCAGACCAACATAGAAACAAAGTACCTGAAGATTGCACACATGTAATTAAAGTACTGGGTTCACAATGACAAGTCTTTGCTGTGTATGGCCTTCAGGATAAAAAAAGCCATTAAAAAACCTGTTATTATTGTATCCAGTAATACAACTGCAAAGAATGTTTTGGTAAAAAAAAACATGAAACCCAGAGTTGTGAATGAATACAACCAGTACATGAATGCTTGCGACTGAGCTGACCAACTTCTGGAATACTATGGCCATCACAGTAGGAAGTCAAATAAGAGGTGGAAAAAGTTATTTTTCTGGAGCATTGAGATCTGCACCATAAATGCCTTTATTCTTTGTAAACTCACAAGGCCAGAAGATCAGAGAAACTCTAGTAAAATAACCCTGAGAAATTTCAAGCTAAAACTGGTCAATAAATAAACAGAATATGCTGCAACCATAATTCAAAAGAGGGGAAGTTTTCGGAAGTACTAGACCAGGCCGTGGACATCCCTGTGCCATCGAGAAACTTAGTGGAGCCAAACATGTGCCTTTTAACTCCAAAAAGGACAGAGTGTGCAAACACTGCAGTAAAGGGCGAACTGTGTACTTTTGTGCTGGATGTGATTCAAATCCGCACATCCATATGAATTGTTTTCAAGCTTACCATAGCTAAAACAAAATGAAAGTATATCACAAATTTATGGTAAATTTTCCATGGACCATAATACATGTAAATACAAATAAGGATAGAGTGCAAATATTTTATTGTAGCGTCAAATTGTTTTCAATGGAAACAGTTTGGTTCTTTCTGAAAATTTTTGTGTGGATGTGACAATGGATATTGCGCTGTGGTGTTTCATTTTGTGTTTCTTATGATGTGGTGATTATCCTTTGTGATGTACAGATTGATATAATTTAGAAAAAAGTAAACTTTGTTACACTTTGGATTATAAATTTTTCTTTGACTTAAGCGTTCAGCGAAAATTTGATAATTTATTTTTATTTTTTATTTTCCATAAATCAAAATCACATTTATTTATTAAAATTTAAAGCTAAGTCTGTATTGTGTGTAAAGAGCATTAATTCCATACCAAACTTAGCACTTTCTGATGAAAAACAAAAAAGTTATGAAGTTTTAGAGACAACATACAAGTGCTTAACAAAAACGCAAAATAGATAATTACATCAGAACGTGGAGAATAATTTTTTTTTTTTTTTTAACATTTAGTGATGAGTTACTTGTCCTTGAATATTACCCTACATCTCTATTCGCTGCATCTTTTTAGGGAGAGATAAACTCAATCTTAAAATCATAAAATGAATATTTTTACATCATTTTGATTCTCCAAATCATTTAAAAAAACAACACACTCTTTCACTTATATGCATGAATATTTCAGTTTTGCTAAAATTTCTATGGTGAAATACTATTTTTCTACCAGACTTACGCCGTGGATATATTCTCCGCTGGCTGTGTTTTCTACTATGTTCTAACTGAAGGCAGTCATCCTTTTGGTAGTAGTCTGAGAAGACAAGCCAATATCCTCAGTGGTGACTATAATCTACAGCATCTACAAGGAGATGGTGAGTGTTGACACAAGAGTCTCACTAGTGCTGATTTTCTTTCAGAAAAGCAGGCTGCCGAATTAAATTTAGGTTACATTTCCCATTGGCAAGTGTATGTACTAATTCAGCTGCAGTTTTCTTGATTATAAACAGATTCTTATGAGTAATATGCCATTTTGTAGGTAAATAAATGTAAAACATTTGGCAATTTAATTTTCTGTAGGAAATGATTAATTGTTAAATTAGAATTTACAACGATAAAAATTATATAAATATGCCAACTTTCATGTAAATGTTGAATTTCCAAAACATTTAAAGCCTTTAATTTGATGGATTCCATATGGAATACCCAATAATAAGGAAAATAAATCCATGAAGACAGAAATTGAATAATATTTACTCTTCAAATTACATATATAATCAAATCAATCCAACATGTTTCAATAATTTAGAAAAAATCCACATTTGAATAAAGAAAAGCATATATCACTCCAAATGATTTACAGAATGTGTTCAATTTCTTTAGACACTTTATTTATCACCATCTTCATGATCACTTGTTTTGTACACCCTGAAACATTTTTTTGATTGAAAATATGGCTTGTCTGGACAACCATTATGGAAAAAAAAATAATTATGGCCCTTTTTGCAGAAGTTGAACATACAACACAGTTCTTGTTTTTTATCAGAGTAATCCACAATATGCTTAGCACCCTCAGATTTTTTAATTTTGTTGCCTTCTTTGAAAGGTAAATTTTAATCAAATTGTTGAAATAAAGATTAATTTCTGCTCAAAATAAATGTTCGATCTGCCTCTGAACTAATGTATTAGACACAGTTAAAGTAGTTTGTGACATGAAATGATGCTCTATATAGTGTATCTAGATTTTTATGTTAGACATTTAAACAATGTTAAATTACGAAGTAATTATTCTTAGCTTAAAACTTAATTGTGTATTAATTCCAACATGCTGTGATTCTATGCACTGGTCATACAAACACTGGAACCAATTTATTTGTGTAGATACTCAGTTTAAAAGCTCTGTTGGTTAGAGTTCCTTAACTGTCCTAATCCAAATCCAATGTTCTGGTATTGATAGCCGGTACTTGGTTTCTGAAAATTATACAATTATTTCTTTGATACAATTTGTATACAACTAATATTAGTGCCCAGACATTTTATTAATGAAGATGCTTGTTGTGAGTTGAAATCTATGCATGATTTAGATATTAAATATCAAGTCAACATTGTCATGATGCAAAACCTTCAAGACAAGATAATATAATTATAAAAGTATGTACTTTAAATAACTTTTTTGGGGGGTCACATATAATTGTTTTGATAATGCTATTTATATGATTAATTTCTTTAGACATAAAACCTTTCTAATGAATTGAGATGATTTTTTTAAAAATTAAAATATAAATAATTCACTAATTTGAAAAAAAACAAATATATTTTTTGCAGAGAACTATGTGTCCCGTAAATTGATTGAGAAAATGATCTCATTCTCACCCGATGAACGTCCAGGTGCAGGGACAGTTCTTAAACATCCATTTTTTTGGTCCAAAGAGAAGCAGCTAGCATTTTTTCAGGTATGCTTGTACTTTAAAAAGTTTTCTAGTCAAATGGCGTTCTCCAAAATATGATTTAGACGACAAGATGAATTTAAATAATTTGAGTTTTCCCAAATCTTTTGGTCAGATAATGTGCTTAAATTATTACTGCATTTAATCTGTTTTCAGAAACCTTCAGGCTAGTGCCCCGTGAAATCCTTTAATTTTAATTTTAAAATAGTGGAATATGACATACATTGCTCCCAAAAAATACTCCCTGAACCTACTGCCAAAACATATAGACCAACATATACTTAATTGAAAGTTATATTAAACAATACCTTAAAACAAATTTTTTCACATAAAAATATGAATTTTTTATTATTTTAAATTAATATTCTAATGGTTCACCTGCTTTTAAACCAGATTTATTACACCAACTGTGTCAGATAAACAAAAGAAAATATGCACCAAACAGACATGCAATATTGTTATAAAAAGAATCTCATTTAGCGCAGTTATCAGGAATTTTTTCGTGAAACCAGTGTCATCATATTTCCTTTATTGTCACCTTGAAAAACAGGAAAATCTGATTTATGCTGATTGTGATTGGGGCTGAAAATTTTTTAGAATGTGTTGTTATCGGCAGCAAGTCTACATGCCAAGATTCAGCTCGATAGGTTGATGGGAAGTGGGTCAATAAGTCGTCCGAAGCTTTTGCCATAATAACACAAATGCAAAGTTAATAAAAAGGAATCAATAAAAAAAAAATTCAGTAATTAAGAATAAAAATAAAGATAATTATGATATGAATTCATTTTGAGTTAATGTTGTGCCAACTATTTCAAGGATGTAAGTGATCGTATTGAGAAAGAAGATGAAGACTGTCAAGTTGTTCAAAGGCTGGAACAATATGGACTTCCAGTGATAAAACAAGACTGGAGAAAAATTATTAGTTTGGAGTTGCAGGAAGGTAAATAATTTGATTTATCATACAGTGCCAAATGAAAGATTTGTCAAGAGAAATAATTAATTATGAGCATGGAAGTCTTCTCCAAAATGTTTTTTCAACATTTTAATTATATTTTAAAGTTTGACCTGCAAACAGTCAAATTCAAAGGTACTATGCAGTCAACTCTTTTTTAGTAACTTATATGTATGGCTAAAACACCCTACAATATTAGAAAATGAATCCAGAGACCCATATTAGTATAGATATTCTGAGAGTAAATTGGACAAAGAATCATATGGTACGAAAGTTGGAATTCTTTGTTCTTTGAATATGGCCTTGACCAACAGTGAGAACAATTGTGCGACTGTTCATCTTTCTTAAACTCACACCCACGCTGACTGTTGGGTCCTTTTTATCACCTAATTAAGTTTATCAGACACCTAAAACATTATTCTTTCCTTTAGAAAATTAAAAAAATTTTTGTTTAATTGAAAGTAAAAAAGAAACAAAAAAAAGCCATACATATTTCTTAATAGGATGCCTATTAAATTCATTATTATCCAATTTCCACTACTTCCATTATTAGATCTTGAACTGCTAGCAGTGCTAAATCCAATATCGTAATTATAACTACCAAGAGTAATGCAAGCAAAGCTATCTTCAAAATCTCTTTCATAAAAGAAATAATTCAAATAATTTAAGTGTTGTATTTTTTTTTTTTTTTGTATGGCCAACATCTGAGTCCTACTGGTTAGTTTGGTCCAAAAAAATGAAAATTAAAACTCAATTCAAAATTTTTTTTCAAATTGTTCATGGGTTAACACTTATGTATATAACATTAGTTTCTATTAAAAATATTATTGTGTCAATAATGAAAAAATGTGTATTGTGCTTTCTATTTCAGACCTGCGCAAATTCAGGACATATCGAGGCAATTCTGTGAGAGATTTGCTAAGGGCTATGAGAAATAAGGTACGTTGGTTTAAATCATTGTCAAATTTAATGTTGCTAGACATTTAGCAGAAAATATGTAAAACAATGGGCCTCCTTCAGCGGACAGTAAAGATGATAAAAACAAAAATATTATGGATACAACATTTCAGCTAAGTTTCATTTTTATATATGTCTGTTTGTCCTGCTCCCTGCAGAAGGCTTCTTGCCAAAACTTTCTTTGTTTTGTTCCTTCCTTTATTCACCCCATATTTTTTTCCCTACTTGGTTTTGCATATTTCCTTTTACATAACCATCTTGCAGTCTCCACTCTTACCATCATAGCATAATGTTACAATTCAAAAAAACCCAAACCGTCCTCACTCATGCACCGCCTTTCACTGTGAAATATTCTTCATACTGGGAAACATCAACCATCATATCCTTTTTTTTTTTTTGCAGAAATTAAATTTTTGAAACAAGTTTGAAGTTTTATAACATACTTGAAATTACTGTTTTAATCCTTTTATGTTTTACAGATAGTAAGGCTTTAAAAAAGGCTGTCAATTTATTACAATGTACAGAATGTTTTTGACAATTATTCCTCAGAAACACCACTACCGTCAACTGCCAGATCCACTGAAACAGAGCCTAGGTGCTGTACCAGATGAATTTGTCACATATTTCACCTCCCGGTTCCCCCAGCTTCTCCTACACACCTACCAGGCCATGGCTTGCTGTACACACGAGCGACTGATGCAACCCTATTATTTCACAGGCCATAACTACCAAGAAGAAGCTGCAGGAGTGAAACAGCTTCATGTTAATGCACTGCCATCAGGCCACGTAAACCACAAAAACATTTCAAATGATGGTGATGACAATTATTGTAAATCTACCACCACAGATCATAAAAGCAATGACCATGTCATTCAATCTTGTGTTAAGGGTGTGGCTCTAAAACAGAAACTTGATGTGGATAATAGCAGCATTCAAAACAATCCCCCATTCAAAAACCTTTTCTCAACTGAATATAATTCAAATGAGCCACAATTTAGTGATGAGCTGGTTGCAGAGAGTGTCACACCTCATGTGGGGCATTTCAAACAATTAATTTCCTCATCCATTTTAGAGGAACGCTGTGCTGGAGATGGAATTTTAGAGCCTTCTAGCCGCTTGATTCCATGCATGCCACGAGCTCTCAGTGTTTGCGTGGCGAACCGGTGCTCTCCTAATGAACCACAATTTCAGGATTCTTTTGCAAAAATATCACCGACCTTGGATAAGGACATCATGCCTGAAATAAAAAACCCAAATTTTAAGAAAAGAAGAGGTAAACATCCAAACAGTGCCAGGAATCCCAATTGCTAAATCTGATGTTTCTACGCAGCGAATAATGTGTTCAACTTCTGAGATAATGGCAGAGTTGTAAGTGGGATAACCTTCACTTGCTTGAACTATAACCAGCTAAGAGTTAATCATGGAGTGCTGAGGAATATTGAAATTATTATGGCGTGTGCTATAAAAAGAAACCAGACCACCTGTAAAAATATATTTGGAATAATCTTATTTCAAAGTAACAGGGTTTACCATTTATATGTTATGAAATATAACTGCTTTAAAAATAATCTTACAAACTTGGAATGATGAGTGTAATATTTTTTCAAAAGTCTGAGATAGCTGGGATCTGCTATTTGAAAGAGTACATTCAAAATATTTTACCAGTTTTTTTTTTCTTGTTTTTTTTTTATAGACAAAATGAATTTGGAATCATTGGTTCTATCTATATTTCATTTTGGTATGGAACTGAAATCTCTAACTTTAGAAATGATTTTTTTTTTGGTATGGCACCGAAAGCCCAAACTTCAGAAATAAAGTATTTGGGCATTGCACTGAATCCCTAACTTTACAAATGATGTATGGTTTTCTACAAATGTTTTCCTACTTTCCTATACTCTAGTGATTCAGATGACAAGTTCAAGCCATTGGCCAAATGATGGCCTATCGCCTGTTGCATGGTCTGAGACCATAAGAGGCTTTTTAAATTCCCTCTAAAGGCTCAAATTTATTCTTTCAGTTGACCTTTACTAAAAGGTTTTTGGTTTTCAAATGATGAAAATTATTTCCCTTTGTTGTGTAAGCGCTCTATATATTATGCTTTTGGTTGTTTTGTTTTGGGTGGGCTGTTGAAATTTTAAAAATATTTATTTGAATATCTTGACCCTTACGGTACAAGCTGACCCCTGCTTGTGCTGTACAACATTAAACCTTGGAATTGTTCGTAAGGTTTGTAAAATAAGAATTTTTGTAAATAGATCTGCAGGTTTAATTTTTAATAATTGTTGTTAAATTTTTTAATTTTTTTAAATTTAAAACTTTGGAAAGGGACAAGGAAAAAAATTTTAAACAAATTGTACAGTGTTGATTAATAATGTGCCTTCTTCCTGTTAGGATTTTAAAATACCAGGATAGGGTAGACAGACTTGAATAACAGTTATCAAAAAAAGAAACAACAAACAAATGTTATCATTCATGGTCGTCTGGCAGTGAAGGAAACATTTGCCAGCAGTATATGAATATAAGGAGAGTACTTGATGAAGTCATCATCTACAATTGAATCTAATATTTTAATTAGGTTTTAATAAGATGGTAGAGAAATTTGTGTAATGTGTTTTTATATTTTTAAATTAACATTACCTGATTCAGACTAATTCCTTAGGAACTCTTCTTCATTGTGACCTTCCATTGCCGGTGACCATTTATGACATATTGATTGAGTAGATAACCGGAGCTTCTACTTAATTTTTCATGCCAGGATTTAGGATAACTGCACTCCTGTTCACTGATCTAATGGTTTTTTTTTTCCACATAAGATTAGTGCGTTATCTACTATGCTAGCCTTTGGTTAAATAAGACGTGGAGTCTGGCAAACGCAATGCTATTTGAATTGTACTTTTTTTGTGCCAAAGTTCTTCTTCTTCTATATTTTAAGGGCCGACGATCAATTTATTGATCATTCTGGCTCCTATGAAAGTTCTTTTTATTGTCAAAAATATTGGCTCAAGAAATTGAAAAAGTTGAACATTTTTACGTGTTTATTTTCTGTAAATTAATTTATTTTATGATCCATAATAAGCCACACACATTTTATGCCCATTATGTAATTAATAAATGCTGTGAAAAATGGGAAATTTTAATGACATGCTAATAAAAATGATAAAATTATTTAACATTTTGGATGCTCTCTTTTTTGTCTTCTTTTTTTTTCTTCAAATTTTTATTGTGTTCTGTATGGCTGGGATTGACTCAGTTGACATAAACTATCAGCTGCTTCACAGTGAATTCTTTAAAAGCCTTATTCAGCAAAGTTGGTCCAGTAGTGAATTCATTAAATAAAAGCCTCATTCAGCAAAGTCGGTCCAGTAGTGAATTCTTTAAATAAAAGCCTCATTCAGCAAAGTCGGTCCAGTAGTGAATTCATTAAATAAAAGCCTCATTCAGCAAAGTCGGTCCAGTAGTGAATTCTTTAAATAAAAGCCTCATTCAGCAAAGTCGGTCCAGTAGTGAATTCTTTAAATAAAAGCCTCATTCAGCAAAGTCGGTCCAGTAGTGAATTCGTTAAATAAAAGCCTCATTCAGCAAAGTCGGTCCAGTAGTGAATTCGTTAAATAAAAGCCTCATTCAGCAAAGTCGATCCAGTAGTGAATTCTTTAAATAAAAGCCTCATTCAGCAAAGTTGCTCATATTATTGATAAGTTTGTGCATTTTTTTTTTTTCAAGCCCAATAACTTATTGTGAATTGTCATTATAAAGAATCAATAGTTTTAAATTGTTACCTAACAAGTGTTCTGAGCACAATTGTCAGTGACATGGTCTCTTTGGTGAATCTGGATTTCTGGGACTATTTAAAAAAATAATAAGTTTAATTTAATTCCTTACTTCTGAACACAGAAAGTTACATTTGCATAGCTTTGTTTGCTGAGTCAAGACCACTTAGTGATAGATTCATTTTTAATGACGGGGTTGAAGGAAGTGTGTCATAAAATCACGATGGGGGTATAGGAAATGTTTTGAAATCATGAGGGGGTGTGGTGTTGCCAAAAGATTTAAGAACCCCTGTCTTAAGACTGTAAAGATATTCAAAAGTCTTTTTTTTACCAAATTGTTACAATCTGTCCTTAAATTTATGGACGGTTGGTAACCCTGCCCCCAGGGGGCTGCTGCCACTTTCAGCCTCCATTTCGTTCGCTCTGTTTACGATAGTTCGTGCATCGTGTTTCATAAGTCTTAGTCACGAGCAACGATTGTCTTTAAACTGAGTCATTTCCTACCACGAACTGTGTGTATGACTGCTGATCAAATACAAAATTAAACTATTTAAAGTACAAATTATTTACAAAAAGGGACACCTATGCTTTTTCAGCTATTGGCCATCCCAGATTTTGACTTGACAGAACTTTGTGGAAAAAATCGTGACTCGCAAATCCAAGAACTCCTATCCCTGTTACTGTATAGTTCAAGCAGTGAATGTCTTTAATTTTTTTTTTAGGAGTTGATCTTATTTCCACACTGTGCGGGGAAATCGTTTATTGACATGAGACAGTCATGGCCGCAGCAAGTCAACTGTGACGTTTTAACTGGGTCAGGAAAGAATGTCACCTGTAGCCTTACGCAAGTCAAGTTCTCAGTTTTCAATGTAGGACTTCAATGTTAATGTCTGGCTGATGTAAAGTTCACGTGCACCTCTGTCAAAGGTTGTAAATTGCTAGTTTTTAAATTGACATTCAGTTTCTTATTCAATGGTGTAGTTTGGGTTAGTGCCGCATGGCATGGGTCAAGATTTTTTTTTNAAAAAAAAAAAAAAAAAAAAGAAAACAAACAAACAAACTCGGCACACATTCTATAAGGCACCACTGAAATGTCAGACCTGTGGCGCGAGTACAAAAGAATTGGCTATCCTCCTCTAGTACTGAATCTTCAAACAAGTACACACTTCCGTCAACTTTATGGACCTTAACGTACGTACGTGCACATACTTAAAGCATCGAGCGTCCTTTGTCAACACGGCAAATGTGAGAAACAATCGACTGAGGCTCTACTAGAGTGGCACACACAAAATAATAGCCTGGATTTGTACAAGGTGCGAGATGACGTAGCGTCTACAACACTTAGACAACAAAATGAACGTCTTTACGGTCATTATTGCAGACATTGTACAATTCTGGGAAAGAGCGCAACAGTCATAAATCTATGACTTGGAGCTAAAATTTACTCCAATCAGTGGGGTAACTAAGAATTTTGCCGCCCAGCCAGAAAAAGGACCAACTCTGCAAGTTAGCCAAAGAAATTATCCCCTCCATTTATAAAGGAAACAAGTCCACAAGGCGAGGATCTCCCGCCTGTCCTTCCTTCCTGTGCCGCTGATTTTACTCCGTTATTCAAAAGATTTGTAAAATTATTTTGTTCTCCCCATGAATTAATATTGAAGTAACGCTGATTATTTGAATCATGAAATTAAAATACATATGACGTCAACACGCATGATCGCACTACGCACGTGTCCCAATTTTTTACCTCTGACCTTAGGATAGACTGGTAGCGAAGGTCGTGAATATTGGCGCATGAATCAGAAGGCAAACATCGCTTTGCTTGTCACCCCCTCCCCCAACTTCCAAGATGTTATTGTTCAAATCAGTCCACATTATAACATTGACAAGAACAATAAGAAATTAATGAGGTCAGGTGGTCAAAGTATTTAAGAACTGTACTAAAAAATTTAAAAGAACCAGAATGATCAATACATTTATCGTTAGCCCTCAAAATATGGAAGAAGAAGAAGTTACAAGTTAAGTTATAGTTATTTTTACATTAAATTTACTTTATTGAAAATGTTCCTTTCCTGGTCTTCAAAGTTGCAAATCTGTCAATAAATGGATGAAATTCAATATCCTTCACCGTGTCACTTTAAACTGATAGTAGAGCCAGATCAGAAAGCCTTGTGCTCGGTACCTGCCGTACATAAAACAGCTCCCACAGGGCTGCCGGTTGGGATATTTCGCAGTCGGAAAGTTAGGCAGAGTCAGGGTAGGGATCATGATTACAAGTTGCCGTTGACGGGTATGAGGCCAGAGGCGAGGGTGGTAACCTCTGGCCGAGGATTCAAATAATGCAGCCGTGAGAACGCTGCCCCTAGGCAACCGTTTCTTCCCAGCTACAGCGTGAACTAGTCGCGTTGTGGAAACCCACTGTGGAATCCCTCTTATAGGGCGTCCGACGCTTTCCCGGGATGGGTGGGGGAAGATATTAGGACGTAATTTTTTCCATCCCGACTCCTAGAGAAAGTCAATCGAGTGCACTGTTTAAACGCATAGTGTCGGATCGACCGGGTGCCTCCTCGTTGGGGCGGCCCCCAGGCGGGGTCCTGGTCGAGCCCCCAGGCGCCCAGGTGAGGGACTTGGGTGGGGGGCCCGTGTGGGGGCCGTCCTGACGAGGGGGCATCTCCAACGTGCCGCTCCGCGGCACCGGGGAGGGGTAATTTGGGGGGGGGTATTTTGGGGGGGGGGGCATAAAGAGTCTTAGACTCGCCACGCTGACGCCATTTCTTAATGTAACTTAGAATCGTCTGACTGTTATATTTGGTTTCAGTGGAATGATTTATTTCTCAGAATTCGGATAAATATTGTTTCCTGCCATTTATGAAAGTTATCGAACACTTCAATTAGCGTTGAATAATCATTTGGATTAGTTACACGTGTGGAAAATTAACGTGTGATCGGTTATCCTTTTATGAAATTCCGTTAGATCGAGCGGTGTGTGCCTCTGTACATATGCAAGTTTTCAGTTGGGTGTCACCCCCTGGGATGGTGCAACCCATATTGTGGTCCGCACCCCTAGCTACGTCACTGGTTAAACATATAAATGGGTAAAACTAGTTTTTAAACGGTATTTTTCTGATTTAATTCTAGGGTCACCTCATTTTTGACGCATCAACATGTAACTTTTAATAAAGGACGCATTTGGAATGGTTATACGTGTGGAGAATTTTTGTATGATTGGTTATCCTTTTATGATAATCGTTTGGACCGAGCACTGTGTGCTCTGCCAATATGCAATTTTTCAGTTGGCTGTCCGCCCCTTAGATGGTGACACCATTGCGGTCCGCACCCCCTCCCCCCCCCCGCACTCCCCTTGCTACGCCACTGCTCTTAACTAGGGTTTATTTAAGTTGGGAGCAGAACTAGTATTATTATTACTGAACTAGCAATAACACGCACTTTATACAAACAAATCCGTTAGTGCTAACTTCTGTGAATTTTATTTGGCCGCCGATTGAACACAGCCAGATACAGTTATTGTGGTATTCCACATACCTAGAGAATGGATATTTTTGATACCATCCATCCATGGCTGTTGCGCTACAGCCCTTGTAGGGCTTTGACCGACCTCACTACATCCTTCCACTCAGACCTAACTTAATTTTCCTTTCTTGGATTACCAGCTGCTGTAGATCCCTCTCCATATTATCCATCTGCCTTTGAGTCGTTTTCCTCTGAGGTTTTGGATGTGCACCCTCTTTATTCTTTCTAAGTGTTCAGCCGAGCGTAGCCTGGCCTTTTTTTTTTATAAATATCTGCTACTATCGTTGGATCCTGTTATAGACTATACAATTCCTGGTTGGTTCGTATTCCCCACCCATATTATCCTTTGTGGTCCATATATTTTTTGGAGAACTTTTCTCTCCCATTTGTTTAATAGGGTTTCAGACGTTTTTGTACGAGTCCAAGTTTGATCTGTTTGATCTGTTTGATCTGTTAGTAAGTCGTTTATTTCCTTTTATAAAGATCCTAGGTATTTGAATTGATTTACTTTGTCAAAAGTGTGGTTTCTAATTTTAAAGCTTTTCTCTGTCTGCTCTTCTCCTAACATAGTCATGTAGGGGATTCTTTGATTTTTGGTTGTTAACTTCCAGTGTTGATTGTAGTGATGCGTCTTCTAATTCAATAAAAGCTGTCGATATATCTTTACTAATTTTCCCTAACAGTGCTACATCATCACCATACGCAAGATACTGAAGGGCTTGATTGTAGAGCGTGCCTATAGGTTGTGGGTCTTGGGTTTCCCTAAGAAAGTATCATGTTACTGTTCCGCGGGTGTCAATATGTATGTTTTTTTTTTATAACACGCTCTAATTTTAGGTTAACTACCATACAAGATAGTGTCTCCTTGTCTTAGG